GAAAAAGAAAAAGAAAAAGAAAAAGAAAAAGAAAACCTCCATTTAGTATTAGAAAAAAGCTTAACTGTGGAATATTCTTCCAAATATTTCCAAAGTTGATTAGTTTATGTAAAAAATTCCACCCTTCCCTATCATCTACTGGTGTTATTCTTCCTTTCGGACCAAGAATATATAAGTCAGATAGAGAGAAAAACTTAAAAATAGGAAAACAATATTACAGACAGTAATTCTAATCAAAACAAAAAGCAAAACACATAGCTGAAGGGAAGTAAAATTAAATGAAAAGCCTTTGTGAAACCCATATTCAGAGACAGCAGAAGCCAATTTACTCCTTTGCAAGTATGCTTTGGCAGGATTGCTGTCTTTAGGGGTCGAGAGAGGAAAGCTTGCAGGGAACAGACAGCCAGAAAGAATTCTTTAGTAAGAAATGAATGACAACGTTTGCCATGCCAAGGACATGAAATTATTTTAGCGCTGTGATGGAAGCCTATCAGTGACATGATAAGCACTGTGAAACCCTGGGCAGGGATTTAACAGCTCTGGCATGGTTTCAAAGTCATCAGAAAGTAACCAAAACTTCACAGTTTGAGTTTCAGTGTATGGTGAAATCAGCAGACAACTCCTGTCCCCAAAAAGGAATTTGTACCAGCAGCTTATGCACTTTTTGTGTATTTAGCTGCAGATACCAACTTGCCAGAGCACCTGTATAGGCAAAGATACATCAAATGCATTCTGTCAGAGAGAACGTGACAAACTCACATGGTGGCTCTGCCGCCACCAGCTGGGATCTCAGGAGGCTGTGTAATGAACACAGGTTTGGGCTTGATTAGAGCTTGGGTTAGGAAATCTTGAAATCTTGAAAAGGGCCCTGGGAATTTTGTCAGAGTTAGAATAAAACCATAAGCCTATAATGAGGTGAAATGATTTTGTGTTACTGAAAGATTCTGTTTCTCTTTAGAATAAAATGTGGCTTGTGACCATTTTAGTAAATACAGTCCCACAGAGACTCTGCCAAGGGTAAGAGTTACAACCTTTGTGCTCTAGGGCCAAATTTCATTTATGAACCCATTCTCCCTACCCAGATAACCCACCTGGTTTTCAAAGGTTGCTGACGGAGCAACATTATGCAGCTGTTCCCTCACTACCTGAAGGTCTCTGTTGAAATGTCAAATGAAAAACTTATTGAAGAAGAACATCAGGACCCCCTGGGATGAAAGATGCAATACACAGTGACATATATGGCACCAGAGACAATAGGGTATAAAGTAAAATCTCCCACGTCCTCCCCAGTCATATGGCACATCCCTGGTACAGGAGCCAAACTTCAAGTGCCCACAAGCAGTTTATGGCTCCAGAGCTGTACCTTGGCCTCACTTGCAGAGTAATGTGGTCAATGATCAGCACAACAACATTTGACTTTTATTTAATATAAACTGGTGTCTTATACCTCACCAATTATACCTATACCGTGTATATGGTGTTTGGTATAATGACTAATTATTATCAATAATGTAACCAATACTGTACCAGCAGATAAGCCACACTGTAACTTTATTTTTACTGTTTACATGCTCTTTTAGATAAATTTGATATTTCATATGTAAAAAATAAAATACAAAAGAATCCCAACCCCAGAGCTCAGAATTAAACCTGATTTTGCAACACGTTCATCATGAAAGCCATAGCTTGATGAACAGTCCCACTGAAGCTATTGACCATTTTCTAGGAATAAGGCTAGAGCGAGCAAAATCAAGATGTAACATGCACTGAGAACATCAACAAATATGATTTTGCTTCAGCATGTTTGCTAACAGAAAGCAGATTGTTATAATTTCATGTGTAATACCTATAATGACTGTATATGCAATGAAAAATACGCAATTATTGTTCCTGCAAGAGCTGCATTATGGCTGGAAAGTGTCTGTATGCAGCTGATTAAATCTGACTCTGAGAATGCAGTTCTGCGAATAGCCTTTCATGCAAGATATTCAAGTAATTTTTTTAGGGCTCTCTGACTGCCAGCTCGCTGCAGACACAGTTAGTTTAAACTTTTCTTGAGGATTCATTTCATGCCCTCCTTTCTGCTAATATCCCTGAGATCAGTGTTTTCTCTAATGAATAGCTGACCTATTCTCCTTTGATTTGCCATTGATTTCCTCACTTACCTCCCAATGCTATGCCTGTTGATTAAACGCTAGACATAGGAATGCCTCAAATTTCTGACTTCTGAGTCATCCTCTCATGACCTGAACAGCTTGAAGCCAGCTTCAGCTCCCATTAGTGAAAACTCCTTTTGTTTTTAAACTCTACAAGCAACCCATTTCTCTCCAAGCTGAGGTGCTGCTTGTGAACTAGACAATAAATAGTAGCAACAAAATTATCTCCTACATGCGCAGTGACAATTATTATAAGAAAAGGAAAGGGATACTTTTTCTGAGACAGAGAAGGCAAGCCACAACTTGTTGTAGTGTGCTTTTATACTTTGTAATACTTTGTAAAGCTTTCCCTTTTGCACTAGCAGATCTCTTTGCCTACATGCAATGCAGACAATGAGTAAAGACACCTGCTTATGGAAACTTATTTTTGCATGGGGTCCCTCTGACTCCAGCATGATTCTGCATAAGACATCGGCTTACAAAAGCCACTAGCTTTTAAGAACCAATCCATAAATCCCCTTCTCCAGGTTCCACTTTATAGAGCAAGCTGGATGAAAATGCTTATCAACACTGCAAGAAGGAGAGCTGGAGCTGATACTTTGAAACTTGCAGTGGTATTTCCTTGGAACACAGATATCTTCAGAGTCCAACACTTTGATGTCTCTTTCAAAAACAAACAGGCTGACAATATCTCAGTTTTCCTGCAGTCCTGATGCTTCTCAAAATGCAGCTTGTTTTCTCTAGGGTGCCACACAATCCTAGACCAGCTAGGTGCAATAATTACTATACTTCCAATTAAGGTAATAGTACCTGACATTCTGTACTAAATTCCCTTTTACTAAATCACAGCTACATTGGGAACATCACCTGCACACAACCCACACTTTACTTACTCTCCTACTCAGGTTCTGTGTGAAGGAAATAGCCCTAAGGATTCTAGTGCAAATGATGAGAAGAGCAGGTGAAGGTGGTGCGCCACAGAGCACACCTCTGTCTCAACAGCCTAGACACAATGCTTGCTTCCTGCGATAGCTAAAGCACCATTTCACAGAAACTGGAGCCATGAGTTTGTAAGCTACTGTAACATTTTCTTTTTCAAATGATCAAAATGCAGAAGAATGCAGCAACTGTTCAGAGCTGTTTGCTAACATTTCAAGTTCTCCACTAGCTGTCAGGGTATGACAGAAAGTCCTACTGTGACCAGATGACTGTGCTGGCTCTGCTGCAGGCTTTATACATGGTACAGGGCAGGTTAAATAAGAACAGATTCAACAACAGAGCCTACACTTGGGCACTAGATTCTGTGCCCTTGCACTCAATCCTGCAAATTCATGCTGGAAAATAAGTGAGGAAGACTAGGTGATATTGCAAGATGCTGACTCCAGCACTGGCTGGACCACTCCATGAGACAACCTAATCCACCAACACAGCAGGGCACTCTTCCAGCAAATAATAAAAAAAAATTAAAAAAAAAAAAAAAAAAAAAAAAAAAAAAAAAAAAGCTGGGATTTTCTGTCCATTTAATGGGATTGACCAGTTTAGCAATCTGAAGTGCTCCAGTGCTGGCTTAAGGAAGGTGCTACAACCATGAGCAAAGGGAGTGAAGGAGACAGAAAATAGTAAAGAATAAAAATAGACAGTGTAACATGTTTCTATGGACAGAAGGAAGATGTCACGCCAAGTCAGCTGCCCATGAAAACACACATTAGGCACCCCAGAATAGCATAGAAACAGTTGGCATGATGAGAGGGGAACTACATAGATCAGCCTTGGCTTAACCAAAGGACAAGCCATGAAAGACTTCACCTCAGCCATTGGGAGTTGCCTCTATTCAGTTAGGACCCACAGCCCTGGAACCATTCCTGAAATGAGGTGCCTGTCCATTTGCTCAGATAATGACATCAAAATTTTCTCTCAGAAGATTGTTGTGGGATAAGATATTCCTTCTGCTCAAAGAGCAGCCTCACTCTTACAGTCCAGCTGGGAAGAGGCAAAAGTAAGCTGTCCTCTTTATTATCTGTGCCAGCAAGGCTGAAGTTTTAGCCAGTCTCGTGTCCGACCTCAAATGCAAGATTAAAACCTGGGGGTCAGTACAGGTGATCTGGTTCCCTGTTCACATCAACCTGTCAGGTGGCCATGTTAGACCAGCAAGTCAGGCTCACTCTTGTGGCTCCTCCTGGGCAAATCTCAATTTTTTTGCTATGGAGTTGTGCAACACTGTGCAAAAGCCTTTCCACCTGCTCCCCTTCCATGCCTGCTGCATCCTCACATGGAACTTGGTATGTGGGGAAATTGAGCAACAACCTACTCTTGAGGGAGCAACTCAACAGAACTTGAGATTGTCCACCTTCTTTCAGAAAATTACTGCATTAAAAAGCAGATGATAACAGAAGAGGGAGGGAAACAAGAAGGCTTATGTCATGCGTGCAGCACAGCACCTCCCTCTCGAGCACTGTGGCTCTCAGCGCCCGAAAATCCAGGCGCGGAGTTCCCAGATCCGATCCCGACTCTTACACTGCACCTCTTTACGCTTTGAGCCATCTCCCCCTGCCAGCATCACCAGTTAACCTGGCTGCGGCACAGCCAACCGGACCGAGTTCCAGTGACTTGCTGTGGTGACTCTTAATTGCAATTTCCCCTACACAAACTTCATTGCTGCCAGTACGGTGGACTGAGTATCCACCAAAACCAAAATCGCCTCGCAGCCCCGCCAGCAACGCCTCATCGCCGCACACAGTCCGCCGGCTACCGCAGCTTCCCCTGCACACACAGCCCGTCCCGGCCCGCCCCCGCAGCTTCCTCTCCCCGTGTGCCGCCCCCCCCTGGCCCCGCCCCACCGCCGGTCCTCCTCGGGGGCTCCGGCGTGCTCCCGCCGTCTGCCCTGCTACCTCGGTGGGCGCTGGATGCTGCAGCGGAGACGCCGGAGGAGCTCCGCGGCGGGGGCTACACCGCGGTGAGTCCGCGGCGCTCCGCTGACGGGACAGCGGCGAGGAGGTGTCTCAGGGCCCCTGCGGCAGCGGGAGGAGAGGCTGGCGCGATCCCGGTGAGCTGCCGGGGGACAAAGGCATGGGGGGACGGGTGCCGGGTGGGAGCGGCGCCCGCGGGGAGGGAATGGTGGGGGCGAGGGCGCTGGGACGGCGGTGTGCTGCCCGCGGAACCGGGAGAGGCTCCGTGCTGCAGCGGTCGGTCCCACCGCGCGGCAGCGGCTGCCAAAGTCTATTTACAACTTCGTGGCTTCGATAGGCGGTGCTAGCGTCGGCCGGAGCGATCTCCGGGTGTGTCACATTGTCAGGGGGTTTTCCCGTCGGAGCCGCCACCGTGGGTGTCCCTGCGCGCTCCCGAGCGGAGGCAGCGAGAGCGGGCAGGCACAAGGTAGGGACAGGAGAGAGTGGGGCTCTGGAGGAGTCTGGGGTCGTGGTAACTTATCTGTCCCTCGGTGTCGTGGACCGGGCCCTGCCGGTGGGTCTCGCTGGATGATGGGGTGATGCTGGGGCAGGATCAGCAATACACAGGCTGCGCGACGGGAGACACCCGAGGCGGCTGGCCGTGTCCCAGAGAGCTCCCGTGGGGCCGTGCGATGGCACGAGTGTGGGACGCGTCCCAGCTGGTGCTCAGTTGGCTGCCACCTGCCTCGCAGGTGCCGAGGGGGATTGACAGGGACACGGCCCCGTGGGTCCCACCCTGTGGGGCAGCACCTGGGCCGCCTCCTTCCGTGGGGCAGCCTTGGGGGCGAGGGTCTGGAGGCGTCTCGTGGGGCTGGTCTGGGTCGTCCGACAGCCGTAAGGGACTTTGATGCACCCGTACGGGGTGGGACGGGACAGGAGGAGAGTGTCCCCGCAGGTGTGTGCTTGCGGGAGAAAGGGTGGGCGTCAGCAAGGCAAAAGTCTCCATACCTCGTTGTTTCTCCACCTCTTGGAATTCTTTTTTGGTAATGATTTGCAGGGCAAGGCTTTGGGTTTCCTGTGCTGAGAAGTCATCATCGTCTGCATCGAAAGGAGAGATGTTTCTCCTGGTATTCGGCAGTGACAGGCTCTCAGGTTAACTCCCCTGTGGCATTTAAAATGAACATCTGTGTTTTTCTACCATACCAGAAAACTAGCACGCTGTCTGAACCTTGTCCCTTCTTCAGAGTACCGCTGTGATGCCTGGACCCTGACAATAAACACTTCAGAAATGTTTTAAAAAACCCAAACCAACAAATCATAACTGTGAACATTGGTGACCCATTAATTTGTTTAGCGTTTTTAATTTTTATTTTGTTCCTGGAAAATTTGGAATGATAACAGAATGCCTTGGCCTCACTGTTGTTTATTCCTCCCATTTAATTGTACAATTAAACACTCAAAGTGTTATGGTTTCAGCACTAGTGGTGGTGGGAGTCTGTGTAGTAGCCTGTGTTTTGGCTTCAGATAGGAAGTGTCAAATCAGAAAAAAAAGGAATCTAAGAGGTGTGTGGGGGTTGTGTTTCTTGTAGAGATCACCTTGTGGAAGAAAAGAGGGGAGGAAACATAAAAGAATAAGACAAAAATAAGACTATACAATGCTGTTGAAGAACAGGAGTTGTAGTGATTCTTTGTTGTGGTCTGCCGAAAAATGTCTGTGGTTTTTGGGCAGGATTTTTTCCCCTTAGAATTTTTGTTGTTGTTAACAGGATTTTTTAATATGAACTTGATAAAATGGGATGGACACCAGTAACACCAAAAACGTCTGGATTTACTTGTGGTTTTCTCATCTAAGTCTTTTTCTGATAGAAGGTTTTAGACCCAGGTGAGGGCCAGTCATTTAGATTTTTTTATGGGTGAATTTTTGTGGGATTTTGGGGTTTTTTTGTTTGTTATATTTTAGTTTGTTTTTTTTTTTTTTTTTAAATCAAAGCTGATAGTACTTTAAATCTACAGCACTTTTCTCTTCCCAGCATTGCAGGTAAAAAACATATGAATCCAATCATTAGCTCTCTATCAGTTGGCTTTTGTTGTAAAGTCTCCCTACTGTTCCTCCAAAGTGAGACGATGTAAATGACTTGCATGCTTACTGTGCTCCAGGGTTGCACTGCTTTTCTTGCCGAAAGTCCCCTGTTACTGCACTGCTGCTTGATTGTCTTGGTGGTGTTACAAAGTGGCACCTTAATTTGTGGTGTGTGATTAGTAACTGCACAGACAAACAGTGAGCTTGGCCCAAACAAGATCCTCTGGCAAGGAGGAGCTGCTCCCTGGAGTATCGCAGGCGAATATAATTTGCTTCTTGTTTAACCGTTTCTTATGTTTGCCTTTTCTTTTTTTCCCTCTATTTCCTCTTTTTGCACAATTCAGCCTTGCCTCAAAAATGCAGCACTCTGTAAGGCTGGGGTTTTTTTGTTCTGTTTCTTTTTTTGTCTGTGTCTTCCCCATTGCTTTGCTAAAGCTGATGTCTGACAGTGCTGTGTGCAGTCTCTGAAACTGTATCTAATCGTAAAGACCCTGCTGTTTGTGTTAATTTTGTCAAGGTATCAGCAGATTGGCATTTTCACACGTGTAACAGAGGCAAGCTGTGTTCCAGGTGGAATTTTATCTATTCTTTTTGTCCACTTCACATAAATCAGTATTCCTCTCTACTCTGAATATTTTCAAGACTAGCTGTACACTTGAGGGGGAAAAAGAAGCCAACTGATGCAGAAACTGCCTGGTTGGTCTGGTTATTTAGATAGTGATTCAAATGCAATGAGATCAGCAGTGGACTTTCCCCTTCCTCAGGGGAAGCAAGCCAATTTATTTTTTTACATGGTTATTACTGGTAGAGAAGCTATTCCTACTCAGAAGAATTTGTCACGTTGTTTAGAAAAACAAAAAAAAACACCCCACATCTCTCCTCATTTATCCTGCAGCTCAAGGTATTGCTTGTGAAATTATAATTACGCTTTGCTCTTTATTTATTTATTTAATAAAGACTTTGTAGTCTGCTGCTTCTATAACTGTTAGAAGATCTTGGTGAGAATAGCAATGAAGAAATTTTTGGACAGTTCTGCAACAGGCTTCTTGAATCTTAGGGATACATTCCAAGTCAGTCCAGTGTAGCTCAAGAGAAAAAATACTATCCCTGTAAAATAACTTGTGCAAAGACAGGCTTGTAGAAGAGTATCTCTCATCTGTTGTGCTTGACGCAAGAGTATAATGGATCCCCTTGGGAGAAATCCTGTTCATAGCCTTGGTAAACTAAAAATGGAATATGTTTCCAGTTGGAGAATTAACTGATAGGCTTTTGGGTCAGGACATGTTGTGCATTTGCAATTTGCATAGTATAGGAAGGTGCTTCTCTTCTGAGTTGTCAGTAGAGAGGCCAGGTCTTGCTACTGCTTTCCTGCTTTTCCTAAGTTTCATGACAGTTGCTGTGCCTGTGAAGGAAGCCTGACTTTCCCTTATTGCAAAGAACTTGCTGCCTGTACTTTGCCTCTCCTGTTTCACATAGATAGAAAAGGTGAAAGATCTTACTAAAGAGCTGCGATTTACAAGGCAATTGCCAAGCACTGGAGTGCTAAATTGAAGTATCTCTGTTCTGGTTCTTACACCGAGATTCTGGAGTGGCATTGTCTTTACTGCACTCCCAGCTGTGCATTTGTATGCCCATACATGAGATTTCCCTAAGGGACCATCTCGAAAGGGACATGTCAGTGTGTTTGAGGGGTGACAAGGTTGCTGTTACTGAATGGCTATTCCAGCAATTCACTTCTCTTAACTTTTGGAAGATCTCATGTGATGTGTGTTGGGGATCCAGCTGAGAAAATGGAGTTTGGCATTTCTGACTAGGCTTCCTCTGCAGCTGCTCTGTGTGAAGTGTAATGGATACTGAGGCTGGCTCATGCCCAGTGCCATATTTTGCTGGTTCTTTCTCATGCTTCTGCAGTTGCCTAGGCCAATTGATACCTTAAATTGCCACTTACTCTTAAACTTTAATTAATGTGCTTGATTTATGAAGTATGAGACTTATAAATGATTGGTATTCAATAGACAAGTCCATTAGTAGATTATGCAGCAGTAATGAAATTCATTGCAATAGAAACTGTGTGTCAGTAGTCAGATGCTATAGGGTAGAAAAAAATTACTGTAGTATTACAGTATAAAACATACAGTAGTACTACAGTACAAAAAAATTACTGTATGTACTACAAAAGTAGTAGTACATACTACTATTTTTACCAGTCAGTGAAAAGGAAGGATCAGTTGATCCACATATCTTCCCACAAGAAGATTGTTTGTCTCCCCTGGTTAAAAAGCGTGCTGGAAAGGAATTGCATGCTCTAGATGCAGATTTTACTGTTTGGGCATTCTTTAAAACGTGTACATTGCTAAGTTTTGCATGTAGTACTGATAATGTATTTTAAATGGCTGCCTGTTTTTGAGTACAAGAATTCAAAGCCACTTTCCATCACTTAAAAGTGATGGAAAAAACATAGTCCCTGTGAGATCCTAATTCATCCCCTTTTGCCTGAAGCCTTTAATACTCATTGTCTGTATCTTTCAAAGAGCTCCTGAACTGTTTTGTTTCAGCTAAATATTAAGATCATAAAGTGATTCATGTTGTGCTGTCCTCAAAGGGAGCAAACTGCTGAGGAGCTTTCTTCTTGCCATGGGAGAGGTGGGTGGAAGGAAGCATGGCAGCTGCATGGTCCTGCATTGCTGCCCTGCCCTTGTGTTTCCATGTGCTGCAGGAGCACCTCCTTTGATGCTCTTTCCTTTGTTAAGCATTTTTCCTCTCCTTCAGGACTAGTTAGTGCACCCAAAAACATCAGTCACTTTTGTTTGGCTGCAAAAGAATGCCACCACCCCTGGGTTAGGAGAGCTATCCCTATTTTTGAGCTTAAGGACTAGGGCAGCCTACAGAGTGTCATAGCAGCAAGGTCCTAGGTTAGGAATTGGTGTCCACAGAATTTTGGGAGATCCCTTCTTCCTAAACACATTGTGGGAGACTGCAGAGCAGAAGAGTTGCAGGCACTAGAGCATGTTTCCTGTTCTAGGATTCACTTGTACTGCTTGACGTGGGGCAGGAAGACTTTATAGCACAAAGGTGGAGAGCTCAATCAGTCACGCCTAACTAAGAGCTGCATCTAATCCTTCAATGAAGACTAGCGAGAAAGCATTTTCCTTGCTGTTGTTAAAGCTCAGTGTCACCAAGGAGTGCTGCTTGTACAGGAAGAAAGGAAAAAAGGATGTTGGCTGGTATGTAAGACCAATGCTCAGCAATTTCCCTGTCACATCGGCTTGGGTTCACAGCTCTGGAGTTTTTGAAGGCATCTCACATTGCACCTCTTGAAGAATCCTAAAGGAAGGCTGGGGGCCAGGCCCACATCCCTGTCCTGTGAGAGAACTGTTGTCACACCTGACCAGGTATGGAGATCCTGCTGTAGTTGCATCTCCCACTTCTGTGGGCTGAAGCCGGTTGTCTCTGCTGTCAGTGTTGCACATGCCCACAGCCAAGCTGCACCAGTTCTGGAGTCCAGTTCTTCAAAGCTTCCAAGTGACTGGGAGGTGTCTTGGTATTCCTTGTTCAATGGCTTTGAACAGGGGTTTCCTACGAAGTGGTGTGCAGTGTTTGAAGACAGGTGTATATTTTACCCAAAAAGCAGTGTGTGGATACCTACCTCTCTGTGGCATCTTTGCCCTTGGATGTGTGGTGCTAGTTCTGGAATGATACTGAGGTAGACACATTTGAAAAGTCAATGTGCTTCTGGGAGTTTGCTGCAGGATGTGACCTAGTTGTCCTAACTGCTGGTCACAGGTGGCACTTTTCACATCATCTTACAGCCATGACATAAAGCTATTTATCTTAAATCTTGTTTTCTGCCCTGACAGGCAACTGTGTTTCTGCTCCTTCCTGGCTGATCCATCTTCTCAGAGAAATTTTCATCATTGCAAGGGTTAGTCAAAGGACGTGGGTGGAGTTTTTTAAAATTGCTGAGACGCCTTATACATGCCATCATGACATCTTTTACTTGCTCAGGCTCTTTGATACTCTCTTTTGCAGATAGTACTGGTGCCCTCCAGTATGCATCTGAGGGGACAAAATACCTGGGAGGTGAGGGGGGTTTTCAGTTCTATGACTGTGTTTCATCATGAGTACAAGGCAGCCCATGTGCCAAAGGCAGATTTCTTTCCAGGCAGTTGTCTGTCTGTCTTGCTGCAGGACTGCCTTGATTAAAGCTGCTTAAGCTGTTTGTGAAACTGCAGCCTAAGAGTATAGTGTTCTTAGAAGCCTTAGAAGAGATCTCTGGATGATGTCTGGAAAATATTAAGAAGAGTCTTAATGTTTCTGGACAATTTTTGATGAGAGGCTGTAGGGCCACTGTGGTAAGGTTCATCAGGAAGATGCTTGGTGCTCATTTGCTATCAGCTCTAGAAAAGCAGATGTTTTACTGTAATAAACCTTAAAAAGCATGTTTCCATGTGTTTGTGAGAGAAGCACAGAATTACCTGTGCTTTTTTTCTTGATAGATAAGAATTTTGTTCTGCTTTACTACTCTGAGTTGGTAAGTTATGGCTCATTCATCTATTCCCATTATCCCCTTGAGATGTGGTTGTAGCTGTACCTAGAGGCTAAAATGAGAATTAGGACCCAGTTTGCTGTGGTGTTATGAACTAGTGTGTAAAATACAGTGGTTCATTACAAGAACCCACATGCTGTCTGGATGAGACCTTCTCCCAGACAGGCTGGCAGTGGCACGGCCCCAAATTCAGTGGTGGCAGGACATCCTTGTGTCATTGGGTGTATGGTGGGGTGTGAGGTGTTTCAGTGAGCCATCCTGCTGATCCCTGAAGCAAATGGCTCCTTCCTTCTCATTCAACTCTCCCTCCCGTGGGGCGGGGGGCTCTGCTGCTCTTTTCTGCCTTGCTGGAGCAAACCTCATCCATTCCTGCTTTGATCCAGCAAGTGCTGAGGTTCTGGCCCTGTGCTGGGAGGCAACTTGAGGGTCTGTGGAGAGAGGAGGGGAAGATTTAATTGAGGTTTTGTGACCATGTTTGAGGTGCTTAGTGAGAGAAGGCTTGAAGTTAATGACACGCATGTTTTCCAAAGATCCTCTGCATGTGTGTTTAGGTAAAATAAACAATGCTAAATAAGCTGTGCCGCCACTCTGAGCACTAATAAGCCTCCTGTCTCATACCAGAAAAATACAAATAAATAGTGCCTTTGACTGTTTTAATTGATAGACTTACTGGGCCTTTGACCAAGCAATTGCATCTCAAAATGCACTTCTTCAGGAGCTAAAACATGAAGTGATGTTAGTTATAAAAAAGCAACACAACAAAAACAAACAACCTGTAGGGTGTCCCAGAGGCTGATGATTGACTTCAGCTTTTATTAATTCATCTGCAGTGCATTTGCTGGAGCTTTTATGGTTTAATTGAGGTTAAGAGGTTGGAATCTGTGGTAAACAAAGGAATGGCATATGGGCAGTCTGAAATTGTGTGTGCTTAAGAAAGAGCATTCCTTCTGGTCACTTGTTTGCATTGGGCAGTTATTCCTGACTCACAACTTCTTTTAAAAAAAAAAAAAGTAAAGGTGTAAACATGCATTGCTAGCAAGTTAATGATTCATTATGTTTTATCACATCCTAACATTCCTCTAAAGAAGAGAAGGTTGAGCTGGGCTTGTGTTTGACCTCCCCCTTCAGATGAAGGATGTTTTTTCTTTAACCCCTTACCTGTTGTGAGAGGGTCCAGAAGCTCTTTTTTTTTAATCATAAGAAGGAAAACACTTTCTCTTCTGCCTTTCTCACTTCCCTGTTCTGCGGATCCACAGCTGTTCTCTTAAAAATTCAAATGGAAAAAGCAGGTGTGGGAAAAAACTGTCAAAAAACTTTTTATTACAGAGGCTGTGGGGAACTGAGAGTCAGTTTCTTCAGATGTCCAAAGGAATCTGTGTGCATGTGTTTGTGCTTTATGGTAACTTTTTTGTCCTACTTTCAGTTCTGAGTTGCATGAATGTCTTTACTGGCTGTGATGTTTCCTTGTGAGAGGGAACGTGTACTGGCCAGTGCAGCCGTTTGACAATTAAGATAAGCTCATACTTGAGGTCTTTATGCTGTTGATGAAGTTGATGGCACGAATTACATCAGCTGGCAATAATAGTAGTGACCTGTTGCCCTCAAGTCATTCTGTAGACATCTGTAATTTATATACAGCTGTTAGTAGTGTGTAGTCCGGACCCTGAGAGAGCATGTGAGCATAATTATTTCAATGAGAGAAGATAAATCAGAATTTTCCTCTTAATATTTCAGTTAATAGCAGCTTTCACGTGTCCCATAAGGTCAAATGTCTTTTTCTCACTTACTTTAGTTTAGAGCAGTATTTTAAAAACTCCTACGTCTTGTTAAACGACATACTTGTTTTGAAAAAATACTTTAATAACTCCCTTGTCTGCATTTTTTTGTTTACTTCTGTCTTATAAGGAATGCTCTACATAGCTTGAATCAAAAATTGCTTTGTTAAGAAGCATTGTATATGCTGGCTCAGGGAAGGCAGTGCATGGAACAGCTTCTGTATTTGCAAGAGGACACTCCTGGATCTATTCTGTATTTGCTTTAAAAATAATTTTTAAAAAATTGATGTGTGAGTAGAGTTGAAAGAGATATAAATCCAAGTTCTATTTGCTGTATTCTACATTATTGTTTGCTTTTCCCATCTCCTACTCATGAATTTGATTCTGCCACAATTTTCTCCTGAACCAGGACAAACATGATTTTTGAACTTATTTGTAGTGCACAGGCACACAAGTACATGCATATATGTGTATGTGTGTTAGCATAACATGGCTTGCTTCCCTGCTGCTTGTGATCCCTCATGTTTTATGTGTTGTGGAGGGTGAAGGAAAAGCCCATGGCTCCCTTCACAGCCTGTCCCCTGAAGGTGAGCTGGGCTGGGCTGTGGGTAGTGGGAGAGGGTGGCACTGCCAGAACCAGTGCATCAGGCTGCCCTTGCTAGGGTCTGCACCTGTCCCCGGGTGTATGGGGACTTTGGGGACAGGCAACACCTCTGTTGCTGTGCTGCAGGTGAGTGCTCTGGTGTTGCTGGTGGAAGGGAGTCACCCCCTTTGTTCGGGGCAGTTGGGGGTTGACTTACATCAAAACTTGTATGGGGATGGAGTGGATCCTGTGGTTGGTATCTTGCTGGTTTAGGTCTCTGCTGGCATTGATACCTAACCCACCCTCAATGAGCCTCTCCCCTTCCTGATGGATTCATCAGGTGCCACAGGATACTTCCTGAGAGGAATGCGGAGAGCATTGGAGAGGAGAGGGCTATACATAAAATGGTACAAGTTGCTGAGGAAACTGTCTAACCTAGCTGTAAAGTCAAGATGATGTTGTCTACTGTGCATTTGACTGCAAAGAAAGCTTTTGTCTCTTATTTCTGTTAATATCTATCTGAACTTCATCTGTAAGATGCTTGTGCAGCCTGTGCTCAGTGCTTGAGAGGAGGGCAATTCTTACATGACAAAAGGTGTTATACAGTGGCTCAGCCTTTTGAGTTTGTGTTCCATCTCCTCCTTTGAGCTGAGGTGTAGAGGATTTCAGGCAGTGGTTTCCCAGGGAGTAGGGATGAAGTGAGGGGGAGGACAGCACAGATGAACTCCTCTGCACTGACATGTGCCTGTTGACAGCCCATTGAAATCTCTGCTTTGGGAGTGAGCAAGGTGCCTGGCTGAAGGATGGGGCACTCTCCCATGTCACGGGTTTTCTCAGGCAATGGCCCAAGGTACCACCTGCGTTATCGCTTGTACGAGTTTGGAAACCTTGAGTCTGGTTTGTTATTCCAGGGAGACTTCATTGCTTTATGGCACTCTCATGGGACTTTCAAGCTGTTTAAAAGGTTGATGCTGCCTGGTTTGTGCTGTGATGCTGGTGGAAACATTGACTGGCCCTGGAAAATGGATGACTGTTGGGAATGGTTTTGTTTTTAAACATCTCATCACATGCATGCTGTGATCTGCTCCCAGTGCCAACAGAAGCACGGCACTGATGCTCTCACCTTTTCAACAGGTACATGGGATGAAGGGAGCCTGACACCTGTCTGGAGAGGAGACCCCAGCCCCTGTGGAGCTGCCCACCATGAGCAGGACACTGCTGGCAGGCAGGATGCAGCCAGAGATCCGGAGCATCTGCGTCTTCCTGCCCACCCGTGAGCAGCTCAGCCTGGCAGTCGGGGTGAGTGGCCGGGAGGTCGCTGCATCGCGGCCATGGTTCAGTTTTGTTAGCTCCCATTGTTCTCCCAACAGCCTGGTGCTAGTCTGCTGACCGAAAGGCTATTAGCCAGCTTAGGGTAATTGATGCTCCATTTTCTAATTGGGCAGCTTCAGCTCATTCACAGAGTTCGTTAGAAGTCATGTCTGTGTTTGTAGGGTGGGGGTCTCCTCTGCTCTTTTTCTGTTGTTATTTACTTTTTATTCTCTGAATGGTTTTGCTGCTTGTAATAATCCAACAATTTAAAAAAAAATTAACCCGAAATACCTTGATTACATAGCAAGTGTGCCCAACATATGACTGTTTACTCTTGTAAAGAGTCCAGCTATCACTGGTTTTGACAGCCTGCAGACCCCTCTAAAGTCTAAGGCAAACAGCCATTGAGGGTGGGGTTTTTGCCCTCCTCTTGGGTACTCGTACACACAAAAAATCGAGGTAAGTCACTTAATTTCTTGGATTGCTGCCTTGAATGTGTCAAAGTGTGCATGAGTGACAGCAGGGCCAGCTCAGCTGGCAGCCCAGGGTGGCACGGTGTCTGCACAGCACGGTGCCTCTTTGTGCAATGCCGGCTGCTCCTTGAACTTGTGAGAAACTGAGCTGACAAGAGGCACTTGGCTTTCAGAGGACCAGCAAGTTTCAAAGATAAGTGCTCTCTTGTGAGTATGTGCATTCACTCGTAAGGGCTGGGGAGATATGGCTTTGTTTTGGGTAGTTTTTTCCCCCTGCTTTGGGATGAGGAGGGGGAAAAGACAGTTGAGGTGAACTGTTATTTTAAGTACTTGATTGAAACTGTGGCTTTTGAAACTATGTGTGCTAATCTTCAAAATCTGTGTCTGATTTTGCTACCTGCTGTGTCTAAGTGTAGTGTCCTTAACTGAAACAGCCTCGAGGGCTGGATGGAATAAAGCTTTAACAGAAAAATCTGGGACGCTGTGCTTTTAGGTTACTGGTTCAAACCCAGCCCATCTACTGCCCCAGAAGGCTTCTGCAATCGGCTTTTGTGCAAGGCAGAAAACAATGATTTAATTAAGTTCTTGGCAGCAGGTGTATGGGCCTGGGTAATGGTCTGTTGCAGCTGACCCTAAATCTCACCTTCTTATAGCTCTTATAAAGAGAGAGAGAGACTAAAGGGAGACTAAAGATGGGAAATAGCAGAGCCAGCCAGCCATGGGGAAGGTTCAGGAGGGCAGTGCCAGCAGGGCTGACACTGTCACTGCTCCTTGTTGTGGGTGTGCCTGAATGAAGCACACAGCTGTTCCTTCACCACTGGGTCATGCTCCAGTACATCACAAAAACCTGCAGTTTATAATAAAATAAATTTGGAGTGAGAAAGACTCTTTTAAGATCGAGTGCAGCCATAAACATGACACTGCCAAGTCCACCACTAAACCAGGTTCCTAAATGCTACATCTGCATGTCTTTTTTAATACCTCTAAAATATTTAATAAGCATGAGAAATAGACTTTTGCATTGAGTGCTGACAGGAACAGAAGAAAAGTGCTGTGTCCCTTCCTGTTCCCCAGTCCTGTCCCAACCTGCTGACCCTCCAAAAAGCTGCAGTGCCTTGTGCGTCACTGCGCTATCCTGCAGAGGAATCCTCCACAGCAACCCTCTGTATTCCTTTAAAGACATTCACCCTTGTCATTTCTGATACCCCTTTCTTTCGTGTCTGGGAAATTGGGAAAGTATATACTTGGAGATGCCTGCGTGTGAAAGGGAATAGCTGCCTGGGCCAAAACATGAGACCTCAACACACAGTTGTGTCCTAATTGCATAGAGAGTGAAACATGACCTGTTACAGCTGGGCAAGTCACCAGAAACAACTTTTCATTTGGCTTCTGACTTTATGACAACACTCTTTCAAAACAGCAACAAAAATTAAGATTTCACAGCTGAAAAGGTCTTTCTTTTTTAAAGAAACATCAAGGCAGTTTTGTAGTGATGTTGGTAGAACTCAAATGTAATTAGCACAACCACAGATGATACTTTGTGCATTTATTAGAATAATAATGCTACTACTAAAGATTTCCAAAGCCTTTTAACCTCTTCAGTGTGGAATGCAAATACTAAACAAGCTTGCAGCTCATTGAGGTAGGTAGGAATGGTTATTTTTCCAGCAGAATAAATTATAGATCCTTCCCATGATAAGCACAGTGTTTATGTAGGTAAGTCCTCCCATATAAATTCCACCCTTCCAGATAAGAGTTTACCTATATGTGTTTTATGTGGTCACATACCGATTGAAGCTTGCTCTTTAAAATATATTTGTCTTACACCATTCATAGATAGTGCTGTTGAAGAGGGAGGAGCAGGAGCCATTTTAAATTCTCTTCCCCTGCACTCAAGTATCTCTTAATTAGCTTTGATGTCTACCTTTCTGAATGTACAGTGAATCTGGGGGGATGGTGAGGAGTAAAACTGCCTTCTTGGGACCAATTGTGAATGTGAGGAGAAGCAGAGCACTGAGGGGAACTAGGGGGTGCTGCAGCTCACCAGCTGCTCTGAGGAGGGCAAGGCAAAGTGGGAGAAAGTTTTGGAGTGGAGGAAGTCTGGTGAGGTCCTGTGCATTGGTAAATGGCAAGCATAGGTCTGAAGTCTTTCAGTTGTTCGGTGAACAGGAGAGCCAATGTTTGAAAGCATACGTACCAAGAAGAACAGATATAGGCAACTAATGCACGTGAATATCTGTACACAGAATGACCTTGGAGTAGCAGGTACTGTCTGTAAACTTGCACTTAATTTCACTTTGGATTAATTTCATGTGTAAAGAAGCCCTGAACCCAACATGGGGCAAAGCTGAGTATCAGTGGAAGGAATGAGTCATAGCATTTCTGAGATCAATCTTGGCACAGGAACCATATGCATAGGGAGGAAAGTCCAAAGATGAAAATTGCAAAGGGAAGTATTGGTTGCTTTGAGCAGAGAGGAAAGTAGGAGGGAACAGCAAATGAAATTGGTATTGCATAGCCTTTAAGGCTGGGAGTAGAACTAGATACAGAAGGGAAGTGCCAAGAGGAGAATGGACAAGGTGGTAGTAACATACCTGTTGTGCAAGAACCCTGCCTAAATCACTGTTTAGAGCTGTGTGCCACAAAACTGTCACTTGAAGTGCTCAGTTCCCCAGAATTAAGTATCTTAAAGCAGGTTTTTCTTCCCTTAGGTATAAAAGCTTGCCACTTAGAAAATTCATCCCATTGTGTTTCCACAATTTACAGAGAGTCTTGTGCTGCCAGTAACTGTTGTATGACTATAACCATTCTGGCTAGAGGTAGCTCACATCTTTCTTAGCAAATCCTTCCCAGATAGGAGAATATAGTCAGAGCTTGCTTCTTTGGCAAAGGAGATTGCTCTGTGACTAACTTTACCTTCCAAATGTGTGTTGTGGGTGTCTGACCAAACACTGCATCTAGGTGTGAGACTAAAAGGGTGCAGTCTCACATGGAGACTCATAAGACCCAGATGTGGTTTTGGGTCTTATCAGAACTGTGCACTACCTCCTCCCGGCTCAAAGCTTACACATGTTTGCATTGGTGTAGTACAGACTTCCAAGCTCCTGATAAAACAGTAGTGAGTGCCTGGCTACTGATTCCTTGTCAAGTAGAAGAAAATAAGTACTTAAATGACCTCCTGTTTCCCATTGTCCATATCTAGTGACATGGTACAGCGTGGGGCAGGGAGGTGAGTGCAAGCCGGTTTCTGGGATGTGTGGCATACCTAAACTGAAAGGTTTAAAAATTTAAAAATTAGGATGGTGATTGGTTTGTAGGAGAGTTAAACAGTCAACTTCTGCCCTGTCATCTTTGTTGCTCGGTCTGTAGCACTGCACTGTACCCCTGCAGGCAGCTGCTCCTGGCACTGCTAATCTGCATGGTCCAGCAGTGGGGTAATGAAATTCCAGGGTCTTGGCCCATTTTGCAGCTGCAGCTGGCTGCACGATGGCTGCAGCTGAGGTTGTGTCAGTGCTGTTCTCTTCTCCCCATCTGCTCTTTCTCTGGACTCCTTTCCCCCATGTCTCTGTGGGCTGAGGGGTTTCTGTGTTTGCCTGTGCTTTGTCTGTCAGTACTCCTGGGATGGTGCCTGCGACAGGGGGAAATGAGGCTATGGAGGGATATTTAGTGGGGGAATCTTCCTATCAAAGTGCACATCCAGGTCTGCACATGCAGTTAACCAGAACCATGCTCCTTCTGGGGCAGTCTGTGCATTACAGGAGGCAGGGATATCAGAAGGTCTGTGTGCAGAGAAACAGGCAAGGTCTTACAGGCTTTTGGCTGCAGCTGCCAAAGATAAAAATGTTAATGGCTGTGTGACTAGAAGTCAGCAGGAGACAGAACAAGCTTTTCTGTGTGGGGTACAGAAAAAAACACATCTCTAACCTATAAGCTACTCAGAGTCTTGTGTTTGTTTGGGTACTTTTGTTCCTGGTTCTCCTGAATGAAAACTTCTGGTTTTGGTGGGGGTTTTTTGGTTTTTTTTTTTTTTTTTTGGTTTGGTTGGTTGGTTTGGTTTGGTTTTTTGGGGGTTTTTTCCCCCTCAAAAAAAATTTGCAAGGGAGCATTTATGTAAACATTAATGATTATTATTCTATGATAATAACAATAATATTTACAACAAAGGATGTTCTCTGGTGTGGTTGTGTTTGAGTATTTTACTTTGGTATCCAAAAATGTATTGGCCTGCAACTCTTCTCTAGAACTCATTCTTTAGAAGAGTTGCTCCATCCAGGTGCACGAGCCATCTGTAATGTTGGATTGATTGTGTCTTTCAGGTCAAAGCCACTGGACAGGAGCTCTTTCAGCAAGTTTGTGATTTAGTGAAGATTAAAGAGCCTCACTTCTTTGGCCTCAGCGTTGTTAAAAGTAAGCAAACTCAATGCATGAGCAAGTGACTTGGCAAACATCCAGAGACCCGCTTGTGTATTTACAGTGTGTGCATATATACACAGTGGTTGTGCCTGCAGGGGGAATTTGATTGCAATAAGGTCACAAAGTATGTAGATTATGCAGAGCCTTCCCAGAGCTCTTTTGATCTTTGGTATGTGGGCAGACAAATTGAGTAAAGGGGGGGCGTTTGTTCTCCACCTTTGTTCTTGGATTCCACCTCTTTGTGGGGCTTGCTTTCTCTCCTGTAGTGGGAGTTGCTAGTCAACATATTTGTTACTCTATTCAAAACTATAGATATTGAACAGGATGTGGATTTTAAAAGGATTTTGGGGCTGAAAGTGTTACTTATTTTCTGAAGTCACATGTGAAGAATGTGGCACTGGGGAGGAAAGTCAAATGATAAGGGACTGAATACATGCATGGGACACATTGGGTTTTGAAATATCACATGGGAAATACAAAGCTTCTAGTCCATGACTTAAAGTCCAGTTTGCTTGGTCCTATGGCTTAGTATTGGCCAGGAAATGGTGTTAAGATGATGCCTTAAAGAAGCAAATTGATATGAGAGATCACATTTCTGGTATTGTGTAAGCATTGACGTTCCTTCTCATACCCCAACTCTTAGTAATTAGAAATGGATCTGTTGTTTGGTTATCTTGCCTCCCCATAGTTCCAAAAGCACTGAAAGACTTGCCTCTCCTCCAAAAACTTTTCTCAGGTGTTTTATTTACTACTGCAATTCTAGATATTTCATTGAAATTATAGTAGTCTTTTATAAGTCCTTCTAAATAAGGTTTCTTTTGCCTCTTTATAAATATATAGGATAAAATAATGTGTTTTTTCTAAGTTTGTCTCATTTCCTTTATGCTCCCATTCTGTAAGAACTACTTTTTTTGAGTGCAGCGTTCAAACTGAGAGGAACATAAGTTTTTTGTCTCCATGAGGTTTGTAGAGTCTCCAAAAGATTCCTTAAACCTAATATACCTGTGCTTTAAACCAGCATAGTTTTTTTAGTGTGAGGAGACCTGAATGCTCTTAATTTTTTTTACAAATCATCTGTGTTTCTGAGTCCTCCCCTTTGAGGCATTTTTTTTAACACCAGGTTTTGCCTATTCCACTTGCAGGATGTCTTGGCTGAAATTAGAACTCTTGTGCTCTCCTGTAAGACAGGGCAATTTCATTCCTATTTTCTTTGAATTCTTCTGTTTTCCCATGTTTCTTTCACTTTTTTCTCCCCTTCACATGTTTTTTATTTCATATTTTCCATACCCTGCTTTTGCCTTCCCTCATACCTTTACTGTGAAGCAGTTTGCTTCACCCTATCAAGTACAGGGCTTCTGGTCCCAAAGTGACCTGTAGTGGCAGATACCTTTCAGCCTGTTGGAAATGCATTGTAACCACCATATCCCAAAGAACATAATAGAGCTGTTCTGACTAGACTTTAGAGTACATTGTCCACAGCTTTAAGTGGAAAGAGTCTTCTCACTACTTCATGAAAGTATTCTTCCTTTCTTTAGCAGCTAATTCTTCCAGAAAGCTCTTAAAAAGTCAAGGAAAAGAGTTACAAGAGTCCAGTAGCCTGAATTAACATCTCTTTTTTTGTTTGTTTTGGGGGCTGGTTATTTGCTTTCCTGAAAGGAAATACTTTTTCTGTTCCACAACTTGGTTTCTCTCTGCCTTGTTTTGGTCAACAGATTGGTGATCATCTCTCTTGCTATCTGTGGTAGCTGAGGTCTTGCCTCTATAGCAAATGTAGTGCTGAGTCTGGCATTTGGAAGTAGCCTTTAAGGTATCGTCTGCTTCTCAGGGATTTTTGACTTCACAACAAGATACCTTCTCCAAAAAAGGAAGTGCTCAGGTCAGGTAGTGGCGGGGCCTGGGTAAGTGTTGCATTCCCAGGATTGCCTTGTGGTTGCTTAAGTCGACTGCCTTGGCTGAGTAGCAAGTCAGTGTACATCCCACAGAGGTTGTGAAGCGGGGGAGGCCTGGGCCTGGTCCCTTAGGAAAGGCTGAGCTAGGTATCCAAAAAATGGAGAGGAAGCATCTACATATTTGAACAGGGTAATCCTCTCCTTCATCATGCTTTCACCTCTGTGCTGCAGCTTCAAGAAGACACTTTTTAAAAAACAGCCACCCTGTTTTAGTAATATCATCTTTCCTGATTTCTTAATGTGTATTTATTTTTGGTGGTCTGATACTGCCACATGCAAAACAAGATATTCTAATCCACCTGCATCCGTTACTTTGCTGCTAATTTGTCAACAAAACCATGACTGTCAGCAGTAGCAAGAGAATGAAAATTAAAGGATTTCTTCAGAACTGTAGCCAATCACACTGCATGGATTATCTGGATTAGGAGCCCATTTGACCTGCAGACGTTGTACTCTAAGGCTCAGTTGGTCTCATGGCAAGTATGTGTGTGAGGGAAGAGGTTGGGGTCCTTAATCATAAACAGAATTTTAACCCCTAAGTGTGGCAAAAAGGGAAATGGGACCATAAAGCAACATGCAAGCTGCAAACCCATGAATGCTGGAAGATCTAAGTTGCAGGTCTTGGAGCGAGTTTCCCAGCATTTGATGCCTAAATATGTTGCCTTCTCTTCTGGCTATTGCAGATGCTGAGGGCAAGCTTCAGGATTAAGAGTAACAGTTACAGGGTCAGGATAGAATTTTTCATCCCTTCTGCTCTTGAACTGTTGTTTTGTTCTCAAAAGGAAAACTGCTTCAGCCCAATATATCTGAGGAGAAAAAAAACTTGTATCTATAAGAATTTGATCACTTTGAAAATCATGTTCAGGCATGTGCATTAATGAGAGGTCCTACAAACCCTGGGACATGTTGCTCTTCTAGCTTTGTCGTGGATCATCAGGCAGGCTCTACCTTGTGTGCTCCTGCTGCTGAAGTGCTTGGTTTTTAATTTATTTTTTTTTTAACTTGTAGTTTGCTCAGTGAAAGATCCTGTGACCCTGCCAGGTTCAATCTGGTTCCATAGGCTTCAGCAACAGGGTCTTATATGGAAAATCCTCCTGTGTGGTCAACATTATCTAGTGCCCTGCAGGAGGTTTCCCTCTTGTTATCAGAAAGTGTGAGCAGTGACACATTCAGTCTTCTAAAACAAAACTGAATGTCAGCAGACAAAGAACAGCCAGGCTTCCTTTGTTGTTATAACCCAGATCCCTTAGATCCTGAGTTTTGGGCCATGCCTTTCTAGGAGTAAACCTTGCTTGACCTAAGCAGATGGAAGCCTTCAATTGGGAAGGAGCAAGACTGCAGCTCCTATACCCTGCCACTGTTTCTGTGTCCTCTTATGAATTTGTCAGGCTGGCTTTCTTATGAAACCAAATCCCTTTGCTTTAGCTCCCCTGCCTCAACGATAATATTCTGAATTTTAAAGCTATGGCTGTTCACCTTGCCAGGCCCATGCTTCCCAGCACATGCTTACCAAGGAGCTCAGTGATTAATTCTGCCAAAATCACTCTGCCTTCAGTTAACTCTTCTGCATCTGTATATCTTCCAGTACTGAAGTTCATGAACAGGATATGCGAACAGGTTATCTTTATATTACATGAGTATCTCTTATAACAAAGGGTCTCTTAGGAGACAAATAACAAAAGTTCTCTGAAATACCTTATAATGATTTCTACACACCAGTCCTTCCTCACTATCCATGCTTCTTGCCTGTCCTCTCTTAAATCTGCTTGCATAGTTAAATCTTCTTTAGGAATTTCTCCTGTATTCTAACCTACGGTACAACTCTATTACACTTACTTTGGTACCTCATATGTGTTATATGCAATATAAGGAAAACACATGCAGAAATGTACCACCTGGAGGGTGGGCAGGGGTTCAGATGTCCAGAGAGTATAAAGTACTCCTTGAAAGGACTTATATGATCTTTTCCTATGAAGGGAACTTTTTGCCTGTACTTGCTGTCAATTGTTTCTCCTTTGGTATCAGTACAACATCCAGAGAAGTGCTCTCCTGCCTGAGAATTGCAAAGGGTTTGTTTGCCCCTGGATGAGCAGTGCTGGAAATGGTTCTGCAGCTCTTCTTGGGCAGAAGAATCCCCCGTGACAGTGCTGAAGCCTGAAGATCTTTGCCTGGGCATGCCTTGTTGCTAAATGTAAGATGCCAACATAAAATTCTGGCAGTACCTATCCATTACCAGGAATGACTGAACCTTTAGCTCAGTGTCCAGACCTCAACAGTTCCTAACACCACAAGATCTCAGGCTTCTTGATATTGTCTCCTTTCATGCTACCCTCCATATGCCTTGTGTCCATCCCACGTAAAGTGACCTCAGCCAGGATCTCCCTTGCATTACTCCCAGCCTCTGTTGTGGTTCTTCCCTTCACTTGGGATACATGTACTTTGTATAATGCAAGGTTATCCAAAACCAAGTTCTTTTAGACCCTTTAGTAAACTGATCAACCATGTATCAGAAAGTATCAACATTTCTTTCTGTTGGCTTGAAAGGTAACACAGGAGCATTGAGAAGTTACGCAGAGGTGGTGGGAGCAAGTGCTATGTGGGTAGTGATTTTCCTAAATCACTAATGCTTGGAAGCTCAGGGAGATCCACATGCAAGAGGAGGTGTGTAGCCAGCTCTTCTTCAGTAATCAAACAAAAAAATCCATGCTGGTGTTCAGGTTATGTAAGGGCTACAGCATGTGTTCTGAGGTATATTGTGGGGCTTTGTTGTTTTGTGGTTTTGTTAAGCTTCAGCTCTCCCCTAATCCTAGCATCCCTCTGCCCTGCTCTCTTTCCTGTTGCACCTCAGGGGACATAGTGGTGTTGCCATGAAGCTTATTGAAGCATCTGGGAAAAGTTAAGTGCAGTAGGCATGGATAATTTTTTCCCTTCTCTTTTAGGCAGAAAATGCTTGCTATGTGAAAATTTGGCTTCACACTAATTCATATTTTATTTGAATCCTATTCTTCTGGACTGTCTAGTTGCATTGCTAAAATATACATGACTTAGCCAAATTTGTTAATGGGACCTTCCTGGCTGCCTGTGGGGCTAAGCACTGACTCTTGGTAGGACACCTTTGTGGAATTTGTTGGTGCTCCTAGCCCACAATGGGCACAGGAGGACAACAGGTTTTTGGCATCACCATTACTTAGCTTTTATGCAGAGAACTTACTTTTCATAAAAAATGAGATGAGGAGGAACTGGTTAATGCAAAATAATGGCCTTTAGATTAACAATGACTCAGAACTGATTTGACCGTATATTACAGCCATAATTTTCCATTCCCATTTTTCCTGCAGTGTAAATAATGCCTGTTGTAAGTCTGCATCACTCACTGGAACTGTGTCACTTTTTTCTAACTGAGGACCTGGCACATTATTTTTTTGCAACAATGCATGTCTTATATTTTTTTAAATACATAAAATGTGCTAAGCTAATTTTGCAGAGCAGAAGTGTTTTACATTTCTGGTAACTGCTTATTTTGAAATGTGATTTTTACAGCATAAATTTTCAATCTGGTTTGAGAATTCTTAAAGGTGAAATTGGGAGAAGTGTGTGAATTTCTTTACTGCAAAGGAGCTGGCTGTCCAGATGCATTTCTTGGGATTGCAGTGCAGTGCACTGGTGAGTTGTGCCAGGTCTGGTATCTGCACATACATACATAGGGGAACCTTTCAAGAGAAGCTGATGTATTTGTAAGATCACCTACAGTGCTGAGATGAGATTCATGAACGCAGTGTCAGTAGCTGCAGGTGGATGAGAGTGTAATTTTATGCATGTGTGCTTCTCAGTCAGCTTCTTAGTACCTTTCACTTGTCCTTCAGATGAGGCCAGTGGAGCAATGACAGTTTGTACCTGCTGAGTATCCAGCCCTGTTTTATCCTTCCCTGGAAAGGAGGCCATCTGTGCATTTCTATATTGTCCTTTACAGCACTGCTCAGAGGTGCTGCAGTTTGGTGCCCTCATATCTGTTAGAGATGTTTATTTTCAAAGCAGACAGTTTTAGCATCTGGCAAAAGATCTCTTAGGGTTTCATCACTAATCCAGTGATGTAAGCAAAAAAAAAAAAAAAAAAAACAAACAAACCGAAAAACAAAGCCATCCACTAAGCAGTAGGGCTTTGTTTTTGTAGATGGAGGCTTACATTGCGGGTTGACGTTCCAGCCATTCATTAAGGCAGGAATGCAGTGCTGCATTCTTGCACAGGAGGGAAGATGCTGAACTGGGCTGGGGAAGAGTAGGACCCCCAAGAAGAGATACATTGGGGTGTCCTCCTGTAGCCTGGCTTATTCTTGTGGTTTATGTGTATCTCCCAGTAGGCTTGATAATAACCTGGAATCCTCAGGTGTGACATCTGTGCCCTCACAAAATCATCTCTAACCTAATTAACATGACAGATGAAGAGGGGCTTGGGGTGCGGGTAACAAATGGCTTTACTGTAGTGTAACTGTTCTGTCACACTTTTCCCTTTGAGGAGGTGGTGGGATGGTTTGGGGTATGTCACTGTGCTTGCTATTGCAATTTTTCCCTCCTAATTGAGGAATATAATTAATGTGTTTCTCTAAATGCCTCTGGACATGGGATCATTGTTGAAGTAGAAAGGAAAACTGACCCTTCAACTTGTTACAGCCTCTTAACAAGGTGTCAGCTGAAGACCACAGTGCAGGCAGAGCTGATACAGGCTTTACCCATCACTGCTGTGCCATCAGGACCAACCCTGTGCCATGTGGGGAGCCCAAAGTGGAGGGTCTGCCCTGCTGCAGGACTGCCAAAGCCCAGGCAGGGACTGGGTGGTGTGCTCATGTTACCCCACTCCTGTTGCTTGCTGTGCAATTGATTCCCTAAATGAGCTTTTACTTACATTTTAATAAAAGCTTTATGGAGTGATGCTTACCAGCTTGGCAGCTGATGACGGACAGAGACAAGCCTGACATGAACAAACCCTTCTCTCGCTCACTGACTAGAACTTCTATCAGCTTCTTCCAGGCGGTGTTATATGATCTTAATGGACCTAGAGAAGGGAGGGCTGGGGCCAATGTAGCTCCCAGCCACCCTATCTTAGACAGAATCGAAGAGGCAGGTACAAGATGCAATCTCTGTGATGATAAAAACTCTTTCTCTCCTGTCCAAACAGCAAAAATAATTTCCATATCATCCTATGTGCTGCAGCACTTAAATTGCCCACCACAGACACTTTCAGAAATTCTAGACAGCCACTTTGGTGGTGCAGTTAAATACTGTTTTGTTTCTGTATGTGATATGTCAAGTGATGTGATAAACAGAAGTATAGGTATATTAAAAGTACAGCTGCAAGCAGTACAATGAAGGAAAGAGCATGGAGACAGAAACAGGACTTTTTTTGGTATTGTCCTTTTGTATCCAGTGTTACTGCTATTTTACAATAGTAGGGTGATGTGTGGGCCAGTTCTGGATAGCACCAGATGTGGTTTCTTTAACTTCAGGTGGGAGCTGAAGGAGGTGGTGATAGGAGGTTGTTTTGCTTGCTTGTTTTTTGAAAGCTAGCAAAGAAATTGTTGTATCTGCCCCTGTAAGGATCTGGAATGCTTTGGAAGGGCTGTGAGGTAGCTCAGAGCCCCCTTCAACACCTACTATAACACTGGCCATGCCAGGCCTGCATCTGCCATAATACAGACATGAGTGCAGGCTCTTATATGGAAGTCTGGGCTGGTCTTAAGGGGCAGGAGTTTGTTTTGTGAAGGGATCTTTTTTCTTTTCTTTCCCCTCCCTTTTTTACTCCTGCTCCTTTCATGTTTAAGGAGCAAGTTCTTCATCTTGGCACTTGTGTCACCTGTCAAAACACTATTCTAAGCAAGATCAAAGTGTAGAGGGACTGGTCAGGTGAATGTGCTCAGCTGGCATTGCTACTGCAGCCTGAAACACCTGTCAGGTCTTGTCTTTTATTTTTTTTTAAAGAGACTTGAAGACTCAGGAAAAAAATCTTTCACTGGATGAGTTGTTTGTATTTGATAATTGGTAAGCAGTGTTATGAAACATCAGCTTTGAAAGCAGCACAAACCTCTTTCAAGATGATGTGACATTCAGGCTGTGTCTTGTTCACTCTCACTAGGGTGGAGAGCAAGTCCTGGTCCTTTAGTGTTTTGAGGCAGGCCAGGTTTTCCTTCCTTTAATTCATCTTTTCTCTATATGAAAGAAGTCAGGTGTGAGCAGGAGCACCAGACCTTCTGAGAAAGGCATTTGTGTTTGGTCCTCTTGTTACTCACCCTTTCAGAGGATCCCCTTCACATGCAGAGGATGAAACCTGTCAAGTACCCAGTTCTATTTACTTACTTTTGCCATGTTGGACCATGGTGCTACATGGCAGCAGAATACAAGCTTGGGTAGGGCTTGCTCATTTAATAATAATGAAAAACTGAATCTGGTAAGCTGACAGTACAATTAGCTGTGTAAGATGATGCTTCCCTTTTTTGTAAATGGCTTCATGATTATAAAGCAGGAATTCTGCATTTCTGGCTAAGATGTTTGGGAACCTTTAGCTCAGTTCTCTTGAAGGGTGAATGACCTTCCTTCCATGCTGTCTGGAGTAGCACATGTATTTAAGAGTACTCTTTTTTTTTTTTTTTTTCCCCACTGCCCTGTCTATTTCCTGGTCAGCAAATGTATTGCTTGGAAATAACTTGTAGAGTAACCTAAATGTTTAATGACTAAACATTTCCAATTATTTTATGTTGAATTAATTTTTTCTTATCTTTCAGATAATGAATATGTTTTTATAGACCTGGAGCAGAAGCTTAGCAAATACTTTTCAAAGGAATGGAAGAAAGAGACCACCAAAGTAAGAGAGGTGTTTAACTTTGCAAGCTGCTGCTTTTTTATTGGACTGCACAGTGAAATGAAAACTCTTAAACTAAGGTCCATAAAGCATTTTTTGAAGATGGTCTGCAGAATACTTTTTGGTCACAAGATGCAGTGACTTTTGCATAATTGTACAGTTAGTTAAACCAGCCCCTTATGCAACTTTAGCTGAGCGATAGTAACCACATGGTTGTTGCTTGGCTGCTGCAGAAGTGGAGAAGGTCAGTTGGTCAGTTTTCCATTTGTATTTAGTCTGGATCTTAGTCTGGAGACCTCATTTTTGTCCTTAAGCAAAACAGCCTAAAATAACCTTTGGTGACTTGAATCTGGTACATGGGAAATGACTGGAGCTGTGACTCTTCCCACAGTATGTGCAAAAGGACAGTGGAGGGAGAGGAAGGAAATTTTGAGACGAGTCCTAGTTCTTTAAGGCTAGCTAGCCCTGACAAGGGAAAAACTACATGAAATAAAGACAAGCTTATGTCATTGTTTAATACTGTTCATTCAGACATGATAATGCCTGTTTGCATGTGTCATTAATAGAGGAGCCGTAGTCTAGAACAAAGTATAGCATGCAATTGCTTTCAGATATCTTAACTGGATCGTTGTAAAAGTTGTAAATTACTTTTTTCCACCTTGCCTAAGCGTTTTCTTTGCAGAGTAGGCATGCTTGCCATTTCTTCTACTTACTGAAGTTTGTAGATAACTAGTGAGGTTTGGGCATTTCTCTTATCCCCAAGCATGTGCTCTGCTTTTCCCAGACAAGTGAGAGTTACTTCAGAAACAGCCAGAGTCATGCAGAGGGGCTGTCTGTCCAGCCAGTGAGAGCTTCCCAAAGAAGGTGTTTCTGGTCACCTCAGGATAGGGTATGCTTTGAAGTCTCTCTGTGATTGGATTCTTGCTACACTTTCCTGGTCAGGATATGTGTTGAACCTCTGATGTGATGCAAATCACAAAAGACTTAATGAGTTGCCATTGGCAGTACTACAGTCTGAGATGAGTTAGCCTATTGGACTGGGTTAGTTGACAAAGATTTAATTCCTATGAAGAGATTTCAGGTGGAAAGCCCAGTCCAGCTGATAAAATAGGGTGACTATGAACAGCTTCCAGAACTAAAATGGAGATGTTTGCATGGTCGAGAAGCTGCATCAGGTGTGGAGGGCATGCCATGTACCTTGTCCCAGTGAGATGAATCTGACCAGCAAAGCCTTGGAATTGCCTGTGGGAGCAAAGTTACCTGTGTGAACATGAAAGTGGCAAAGTAGGAAAGACAAGAGAATGAGCTAGTAAGATGTTCCTTTCTTCTTTTTCCCTTTGTTCTTTTTTTTTTCTTTTTCTCCTGTTCAAACAAGCCTGTAAGTTGGAAAGATAGGCTGTAGCTAAAACAACAGGCCTCATGCTGGCTTTCTTCTAACAGCACTCCTCAGTGTGAAGCAGACACCACCACTGCATTGTGCTCTATGGCTGCAGGAATGTGTGAATAACTAACCAGGAGCCCTGCCAAACAAAAAGCATGTAGCTGATACCAGACTGGTGCTCCTGAGCCCCAGGCAGTGACTGCTGAACATGGCAGCACGTGTGTCCATGCTGGGTGATGTAGTGTGGTGCAGGGATGGATGGTTGCTCCTAGGAGTGCCCTGGAAATGCCATGGCCGTGCCAGTGTGGCACACTGCACTGCTGCCTTGCCTGGCACTTTGAGGGAGGCTGGGTTAAACTTGTTGCGTTCAGCACGAATGTTTGTGGTGCTGCCAGGTGCTGAGCTAGGTAATTCTGGGCCAGCCTGGGTGTCCCTAGGCTACACTGGGAGTCTTACACCAGCTTATCCCTCCTATCTAAAATCTTCTGCTCTTCATAGGAGATTTTGTCATTCAGCCTGAGTGTTTTGTGATGCCTCATTGTCATAAGCCTCCAAGACAGTCAGAGTCCCTCCTAAAACTTGCTAAGAGTAGAAAATGAAAAGCAGTATGGGGAGTGAATTTCAAAGGAGAGAACATTACCAGATAGGTAACAGGAATTTTGGATGCTGATCATAATTTAACTCATCTTCTGTTTTTGCTTTAGGGGACAGAGAAATTCAGCCCTCCATTTGTTGCATTCTTTAGAGTACAATACTACATAGAAAATGGAAGAGTAATAGGGTAAGTTCTCTTCTGTGGTAATTACTGGGTTTTGAATTATTCAGTGTGTTCTTAAAAAGAAAGAAAAATAATGTTCCTTTGTTAAGCTCATCTCTGTGAACTCATTGAAATAAGTTTTAAAAATCTGCTTGAATTTTTTTAAGACCTTCACAGATATTCTCACTCAGCTATGAAGGTTTTCTGCCTGAATCATACTCCATATCCCTAGGAAAATTATGAATGCTTTTCCATCTGTGTTGAAAGTGCAGGTTGAATGACGACAGTCTCAAACCATGATTATCACTCTTTTGCTTGTGTCTTTTGGTTGTATAAAAGGCGCCAAATGAATATACCAAAACCAGTTATTTATACTCCAAAGCACATGCTTTGGATCTGTTTTTTGTATCTGAGCAGTGCTCTGTGCAGTCTACTCCTGGAAATGGACTTTCATACATGGACAAAATAAATTACTTCATAAGTTAAAGTTTTTCATTTGTAGTCCATTCACATGGAATATGGGCTGCACTCAAAACAGCACCACCCTCACCCATGGTACAGAACAAAGGATGAGGTAGTTAAAAATTAACAACTGACAGAGTTAATTTACATCAGTGCTTCTGGTGTGGCTTGGTCCCTGGGGGAAGCCAAGAGCTGGTATCATTTAGATGGATTAAAATCTTTACGAAATTTTTGGCATTCATTCTTGTCTTGAGCAAAGCATGTGGTTTTCTGTGTTTTCTCTCTCCGCAGTCTTTCATTTTTGGATAGTGGGGACTCTTTCTTATGGAGTCTGTCTGGCTGATAAGTGTTTTTTGTTTAATTTTGCCTTTTTTGTACATACCGTTCTGTCACTCCCGAGTTACATATCCTCCACCATCACAGGCATATTTCTCTTGTACTAGTAGTTTAATTGGAGAGGTTTGTAAAGCCATGCAGAGATAGCTATCTGGCCCCTTAAAACTATACTTGCACACTTTTACAAGCAGACTGTAGTGTCCAGCACCTCATCTACATGCACATGTCAGCAGCCTGCTTACCATGATCTCTGAGGGCAGGGTGTGTGGGTTATCAAAGCTATGCCATAGTTATTCCTTATCAGACAGTCCTTGTTTAGCAGCTTGAGGAAGAAGACAAAAACAAGCCCAGGGCTCCCGTGTCTTTTGATCTACCTTGCAGGCAATTAGCTGTTAAAAACTATCATGAGCCTAAGGCAAGGTGAAACAAAAAGCAGTGCCAAGTTTAGAGGGAAAAGGAGGACAGGTGTGCAAGAAACAGGACTGGGAGTCCAAGGGAGTTGACTCTCCTGGCTGCTACAGGCTTTCCAGGGAAACAGAAGTGCTTGATTGTAGTCAGTCTCCAAAACAGGTGTGATGTGATTTTTCTTTCATCTGCCTTCTGCCCTAACTTCTTAGATCTCACGCTCCTCAAGATAGAAGGTACCATTTCTCGTGTTTGTACAACACTTAGTGGGAGAAGACCTTGATCTTGGTTTGGTGCTCCTTATACACACAGCTGTATCAGGGTGGCATTGGCTCACATCAGACATGTCAAAGTTTAATCCCTCTTCTCAGCAGGATGATGTTTTTGAGGGGCCTTATCTGAACTTTGTTCTTGGAGTAAATTTGCCTTTGTCTTGCAGCGATAAGGTGGCACGGCAGCTCTACTACTGCCATCTCAAAGAGCAAGTACTTATGTCTCATTGCAACCACAAAGAAGAAATCTACTTCTTGCTGGCTGCCTACAGCTTACAGGCAGACTTGGGCAACTACAGAGAGAAGCTCCATGCTGGCAAATATTTTGAACCTCAGGCTTATTTCCCACAATGGGTAAGTTTGGGGGGAGCCTTTCTGTCAACAGATCATGCATGCAGCAGGAGCTATGCCGAGGTGGTACCTAACTGCAGCCATGCAATTTCCCCATCTCCCACTGTAATGATCAGGCAGATGGGTAGAGTATCATCCTGAAGGTCCTTCAGGAGAAATCTCTTGTCTTTCCACTGGATGTAGGTGCATGTTCCTGGGCTCACTCATCAGTGAGGTGGGTGGTGCATCCTTCCTTGGTGATGGCATGTGTTGGTGTCACATGAATAACTCTGACAGTGCAGATGTCTTTGTTTAATTCTTCTGTGGCTTAAAGGGTTGTGTGTTTCCAGTGGTACATCAGCAAGATCTGCACAACTCAAGCTCTCCAGAAAACCTCAGGGCTACAAAGCCAAGTCTATTTCCCTTTGTTCTCTGTAATGCTTGCCTCAGGAATGGATAGATCCAAACTCTACAGGGTAATACTGCTGTGCAATGCCTCTGGTGCTTGCTTTGTCATTAATCTCTGCCTCAAGTGCAGTAAGAGGAAAGAGAAAGAGTTTGCATGTTTGTTTATAAGCATGTGTGGTGTGACTTGTGCCCTTCAGGACTTAAAACCAAGAATTGATTTAGTTGTCAAATGAAGGCAAATTAGCTAAGACTTTGTTAGTTGACTGCTTGTCCCAGGCAAGTTGCATCTCCCCTGTAAGATGGCCCTGTCCTGTGCTTTGGGGAGAACGTTCAGATTAGTGACAGGACTTGTCTTGAAGACCAATAGTCTCTTTTATGCACAAATCCTAGCCTGTCTGCTTTGCTGTGCAGTAGTGGGCCTTTCTCCAGACAACAGGCCCTCATCCCATGCCATTCCTTGTTACGGGGCACCTGTCAGGAGGTATCTAACAAAGCACTGGAAATGGTGTGTCTTGTGTGCTGTTTCTGAGGCAATTAAAAACCTTATCACAGATTGTTGCTCACCTGTGCTGAGCCACAGCCCCAAGCAAGTATGTGGGTGCTTTGTTACATCATTACAAACAACAAAATCTGGCAGGCATGGGGACGCTTCTCTCCCTGCCCCTGGGGAGATAGTGAGCAATCTCCTCCTCCAACACAATCACTTCCTTCAACACATGCTTCATATCATTTGGCCAAGGGCTGCCCCAAGTCTTGTGCCAGTGGGGAGAGGCACTGCTGCTCTGGGCTGACCTACCCAGCTTTGAATGTGGAGCTGGCACATCTCTTTCTGCTGACACTGCACAGCTGATGGCATCAATATTGTTCTCCACCAAGGCCAGCCTTCCTCGTGGGAGAGCAACCAATCTGGCAGGGCATGCAGAGGTGTTAGCAAACAGAGTAGGCAAGGGCTTTAATATTAAATGTAAGCGGGAACTAGGTGGTGATGGGGTCTGGTTGGTTTGAGCCAGGACATGTTGTTTCTGGCAGGATGTTCTCAGCTGCCTGGTGCAATCTAGTTTTAAATGCCCCTGGTGGTGGGAGATGTTGGTAAGTGAATTCAGCCAATCATCCCTCTTACCTGTCACTGCCACTCACAGCCTGAACAGAACCAGTTGAGTATGGGAGAGGGCTGAGCTGCCCAGTAGCCTTGAACAGAGAGGGCATGTGGGCAAACATGGGAACTGGACACTTGGCAGGGCAGGAGCACAAGGCCCAGGGCAGGTTTTTCCTACTGCTTAGTAAAGCCACATGCCTGCCAACCACTCCTAATAGATAAAAAAATACCTTGAGATAGTGTTGTCCACCCCTTTGAGAATAGAAATGCTAAATAAGCCTAATGTGTAGTTTCTGGTCTTAAAAGGAAAACCTAGTTTTTCTGCCTCTTCAGAGATGTTGCTGCTGATTGTGCTGGCATGCAGAGAAGTATTTGTTATCTGCCCATAAACATTTATGGATGCCAAAAGTTAGGAAAACTAATTCCTATACTTAAAAGTGAAAAGGGCTGACATGACCTCTGTAGTCTTGGTCTGTTACAGTTTTGCCACTAGGATCTGTTTGGAGATATCAGTGTTATCTGGGGCGCTTTAAATGCTTATCCTTCCGGGAGGCAGAGGTAAACACCGACCAACATCTTGAGGGAATGTATGAACCTCCTCCACCTCCAGCCCCTGCTTTTCTGTTGATCACAGCTGCCTCTCATGGGGATTGCTGAAGAGTTGCTGACCTGTTTGTTTTCTTTGTGGTTTAGATAATTGCAAAGAGGGGGAGCGACTACATCTTGAAACATGCCCCAGAGATGCACCGAGAACAGCAAGGGCTGAGCGCTAAGGAAGCAGTGCTGAAGTTCATTAAGGAGTCCTGCCTACTGGAAGATGTGCCCGTCCACTTCTACAGGCTGCAGAAGGTTAAACAAAGAGCTTCTTATTTTGAACTTCTCTCCCATCATTAATTGCGTGCACCATGGCATTTTTCTCTTTCTGTTTGAGGGACAGTTGCCTCTGATTTAGAGAGGCCAAACAAATCTAAAATGCTCAGCCAAATGAGGGCTGTCGCCACAAACAAATTCGTTGCCAGTATACAGATATAGCTGGAATTTAGTTTTGTTCCTCAGCCAAGAAACTGGCCACAGGAATGGCAAAACTTCATATTTGTCCCTGCCTGTCAGTAGAATTGCACCGGGGAAATCAATGAAGCCTCTTTTTTTTTCTTGTTGTAGTTCATTGAAATAATGACAAAAGGTCAGCCAGCTTTCACACAAATGTCGTGTAACAACTGAAGGTGACACTGAGTCATTCCAACTTTCAAATCCCATTGCTTCTCCAACCCTGCCAGAGTGGTTGGCGTTTTTTCAGCTGTATGCTTTTCTTGGTAGTTTTGGATTCCTACATCATTGCTTGTTAGACTCCTTACCCAAACCTGCTTAAACAGAAGGTGCTTCATTTTCACATGCTAAGTGTTTAGATCTAGAAATGGGACTAATGAGAAGTTTTCTGTTCCACTTAGGTGAGTGAAACCTGCCTATGCAACTAGGAATGGCTTGGGCTTTTTTTTCAAATGGAGATACATTCCTTGTCAGACTCATAAACTTTTTGGGGTTTTGTGCTCAGAGGGAATTATGTCTGGGAAGTATACGTGTCCTTCGAACACATCTAACAGCTCTAGTTACTGAAGAAACGTGCATTCTCTAGACAAAATAAGTTTTGATCAGTAGTCCAGGCTTAGTTGCTTGCAAATCAAAAATGTTCGCCTACCTTCTCTTCTGTTCTCTGTTTTGATTCTTAATGCTGTTAGTGATGCAGTCATGAGAGAGTTAGTTACACTTGAATGCCATAAGAAATCCAGCTGGCAGGACATGATACATTTTACATCCAAAAACACCAAGGCTGTGAAATTGGTTGCTCTTAATATTTAAATTCCTGGTCGACTTGAATTTAGGCATCATGTACTCTTCCATGTGTTGTTTGATCCTTAATAGAGTCTTATTTCTGCCGTGTGACACAGTTGTCTCATTTTGTGGTGAGAGATGCTCCTCCTAGGTGATGCTTGGGTCACAGATCGCCTGAGCAAGTGCAGAGGAGTTGGTGAAGGTGTTGGTGGGCTGGTTGCCCTGAGATTTCAAAAGCAGGCACTTGTGTCTTAACACTGTCCTCATGGCTTCTGCTGAGGTTGGGAGCTAAGGAAAATACAACACACCCCCTGTCTCTCATTCAGACCAATACTGATTTACAAAGCTCTTTGTCCTTAGGAGGCAGAAAATATTTCTTATTATTTCTTAATATTTCTTACTTTGAGCTGAAGACAGGGATGGTACCAGGGACAAAGGGTGGGGTAATGTGATGGCATAAGGCTTGTATCTTGCAAGCCAGATGAGGAGAGATGTAAATAAAGATGAGTTGTGACATAAAGTTTGAGCTTTGTGAGCCCATACATTTTTACCTCCAGATTTTCTTTCTGCTTTTCCTCCTAACAAAAAAAATGCATATGTTCTCCTCCCTAACTCTGTTGTGTTATGAGAGGCTGAAAGAATTAGCTTATGATATTTTTGGTCTTCAAGCAAAAGAATATGGATAGAGACCAAGCATGTCATACCAAGATGCAGCAGGAGTTAAAACACAGTATTTCAACCCAGATACTAAAACTTGTGTAAAAACCACCTACTCCCAACACCAATATTGAATGTTAGAATGAAAGTCCCAATAACTGGGCGTGATTAGCTCCCGCCCCAGCCAAAAGCTACCTAAGATTTAGCAAATTCCTGGATGGGAATAGTAGAGAGAGGGAGGGCAAGGAGAGGGGAATGAGTTCCCCTTCTGTTTTGGGCCCTCTGTCACCTGGAGAGCAAGAGTGGTGCATGTTCATGGGGACAGCAGAGACAGCATGTGGTAACAAGAGAGGTTACAAGGTACCTCTGAGAACAGTAATTGTCCATATTCTCAAATCACTAAAGCTACAGGATTCCCTGTCCAGGGCAGCTAGGACATATGCTGGTGAAATGCCTGAGCCTCCCAGGATGAGAGGATTTTAGGTGTAGGTATTTCAGGGGTCAACAAGGCCAGGTGCACTTTACAAACATAATAAAAACCAAATGAGCTGATGGCATCTGTGTGATGAGGAGTCCTGCTACCTCTCCTGCAGTAGGTGCCAGAACAAGAGCATGGCCTTTGTAGATTAACCTTTGACTCTTCTGTTCTTTTAGGATAAGAAGGAGGATCGACCGACAGTTATCCTGGGCCTGACCCTGAGAGGAATGCACATCTATCAGGTAACAGACTGCTGTGAAAGCCTTCTGGTTTAGCAGTAACTCTGCCCAGTTCCCTGTCCCCCCCCCTCACCGCGGCTCCTCTGCCTCCCCTGCAAACCCTGGGCTCCACATGTCTCAAATTCTTGGTTGTTTGCAAATTCTTAGCACATCACTGATTCCACCCTGTACCTGCCAGTCCCTGTGTCACTCTGAGTTTGATGTGTTGCAGGAGGTGAATCACGTTCGCCAGCTCCTCTACGACTTTCCCTGGTCACACATCGGGAAGCTGGCCTTTCTGGTGAGTATGATGGAATGGAAGCCATCTGCCAGTGGCTGCCAACCTGGGATGTGGCTGTCGGCCTGCCTGTGCTGCTGCGTCAAGTCCTGTCACGTGCACGCATGAGACTACTACTATCTCTGGTAGCTGTGTGGCTGAAAATGCGCTCTTGCTCATGTCTTTCACATCTTTCCTCTTTGTGCAGGGGAAAAAATTTGAAATCCAGCCAGATGGTTTGCCCTCTGCACGGAAACTGGTTTACTACACGGGTTGCCCCTTCAGGTCACGCCATTTGCTGCAGCTACTCAGCAACAGCCACCGGCTCTTTCTGAATATTCAGCCAGTTTTGAAGCAGATCCAAAAACTGGAGGAGGCTGAAGGTATGTTACGGAACACCCAAGTGAGTTTAGTAAGAGGAAGAGTACAGTGCGTTAGTCTCTTCTGTTGTTTCATGGTGCCTACTCTCATCTAATTAATGGTGTTTCTGCCTTATCAGGGAGCCAGTGTTAGAAGCAGAGGTGTTAGGTACGTTTCAAGTCCATTCCTAAGAAGTATTTGTGGCTCCCACATTGTTGACTGTGATTGGAAAGCGTGTTTGTGTGAGAGCAATAGATGGATATCTTCTCTCAAGTGGTTTCTGTCTTTCCCTTCAGTGGGGTTACAGCAGTGGCCTTGAACTGTGTGGGTGCAGCCAGTGGCACGTGCCAGTCACCTGTAGAAAGGCTCACTGATCAAGTGCCTGTGGGCAAAAAGCCCTCGGTTGTTTTTTGTCCGTTACATGGATTTCTCAACCACCCTCAGCACATACAAGCCACGGGAGAAATAATAAATCATTACTAAATGCCAGCCACAGGAATCTTGTTCTTAGTTGACTTCATGTAGTGGTGGGTATTTCAAGAACCAATCAGTGCATCTGATTTTAAAGACTGAGCACTAAATTTCACTAAGTAATTCCTTTTTTTTGTTTGCTTTTTTTTTTACTTTGCTGTTATTGACCTTCACTCGGAAACCTACTGTTTTCTGTATCATAACTACCTCTACCTGCTTGTTCTAATTTAGGAGATGCTGATTGTACTGCAAGTATGAGTAATTCTTTTGCAACCACATGAGCATCCATTTGTTGAACAAACAAAATACAAAGCTGTCCCTGTATTTGTTCAGTAGCCGCTGCAGTTGTTTCTTAGTTGTTGGCTGATGCCAACAGAACTTCTGAATATATTTTGTTACCCTTCCTTAAAGTTCTCACTAGTTTCTCCCTCAGAGAAGAAGCGCTACCGGGAGTCCTATATCAGCGACACTCTAGACATGGACCTGGACCCATGTGACAAGAACTCCCATGGCAGTGGGAGCAGTGGTGGCAGCCGCAGGGATAACCGCCTCTCGCGCCAGTCCACTGGGAGTCATGGCAGCTCCCACACCTCGGGCATTGAGGCTGACTCCAGGCACCGCGTGTCTGTGGAAATGTCTGTGGATGAGCCCTTCAGCACTGACCACATGCATAGGAAAAAGAAATCCTACAGCTCAACCATCAGCTACGGTAGCTCTGGCATTGACAGTGGCAGCAAAGGGCAGGCTGAAGATGACACTCAGGATGATGGTAAAGAATTTTGACATGTGGAGCAACTTCTAAGCCAACTTTTGTCTTCTCTTGCAGGAGGGCAGGGAGTAAGAGACTGTACAGCAGCTTGGAGCCCAAGTGTAATGCTAACCATTCTCCTCCTGTTCTCTTCTTCCTAGAGCTTGAGCTGGCAGTAGATGAGCCAGAGGAGATGCCTGTAGATGAGCCTTTAGAGGGACACCAGTTAGAGGAGGCCACTGTGGGAGAATCTGTTGAATCCCTGCCTCTAGATGCTGCTAGTGGCCAAGGTGAGATGGCTTTCTGCTGCTGCTTAATGCTGTTCTTTAAAGCTCTAGCAACAGGCGTAATCTGTGAGTTCTACAAAACCTCTTATCTCCTTCTAAACAGCTGCCAGTGCTATTTACTGCCCTACTGCAACAGGATTTGCAGGCAGCTCATTTAGAGTTTACAGGCCAGCATTCTGTATTGTATGTACAGTGCTGCTCACCTCTGTGGTCCTCAAAGTCTCCCTTCTCTAAAGTGCCAAGCTTATATTCAGTTAATGACAAAAAGATAATTGAGGTGAACCTTTTGTAGGGAAGGAATATGCTTTAATATCTTGTATGCCACAAAACAGCCAAGGGGCTCAACCACAGAATAATGGGATGGTCGCAGGAATTATTAGGTAAAGTTTTGTGGCTTGTGATACAGGAACAGCCAGGCAGCAGGGCTATGCAGGAGTTGTCTGGCCTTAATATATACAGCCTTTACAGGAAAGCAAGAAGGGTGAAAATGGGACAAGTTGGCAAGAAACTGTTTCCTTGAAAGTTTTCAAATGTTTATCTTTAGGGCCAAAAATGAGTGCTTTTGAGCAAAACTCCTGGAGCATTGAGGGTGCTTAATGATTTATATTTGTCTTAAGAGGATAGTACTGTTTCAATGTGGCCTGTGAGAACAACTTCCCTTTTCTATTGCCCAGAAAACCTCAAACTTGCACTGCTTTTTACTTCCTGCTTCTCCTTTGCAGCTATAAATCAGGAATCTCTATCCGTGGTGCAAGTCACACTAATCAAAATGAGAGGCCAAAGTGTGGAATCCCTTCACCAGGTAAGGGAAAGGTTGCTGAGCAGGAGGGTCTGTGTGTGGGCATTGAACCAAGGTCTAGTGTAATGGAGGCAGCTGTAAATCAGGACACCTGGATTAGTTTGGATTTGACTGATTCTTACATTCTTACATAATCAAAACCAGCTGCTGGTCAGCTACTGCTCTCAGGAATAGGATAAGAGCAACATTTTGGCTCAGAATAGTATAGAAAGGTTTGGAGCAATCAGCAGGGAGATCTTGCAAGCCGATTATTATCTACCTTAGTGTTCTGGATGACACATGGAAAATCAACCACTTCAGAATTTTCAGTGCAATACAGAGCAAAGACCATCTATGCAGTTTGGATGTGAGTAGCAAACTTGATCATCTTGAAACCAGAAGTAGCTTACATCAGAGCAAAACCAGATGCTCAAGATCTAATTGTTATATCATTTGTGTGATTATAATCTGTGTGTACTGAAGTCTTTGTTGTCAAGGTTTTCTTTTCACCAAACACTTGAGAAAGGAAAACTATATATGGTAAAGTACGTCACAGAAGAAGATATATTTGGAAGAAGCTTATTAAAATGTCTTTTTAGGACTTCATTTCAAAGTGTAGCTGTACCCACTGGGGTAGAAATGTGGTTTTTTAAAAAAACCCAACCAAACAAAACAAAAACCAAAAAAAAAGCACCGCTACCCTTTCTTCCCTCTCTTAATCCAAAATTACCTTATCTGCTGAGAGAATTCTAAAACTCTTAACAGGGATTCCAATCACTTCTTAAGACTTTGTTTTTAATTTTCTATGTTTCTTTCTGGACCCAGTCAAAAATCATAAGAAATTTTCATTTATCAGCAAAATAGCCCATAAAGTGCTGTAGGGGATTTGAACAAAATCTTGGTTATTTTTTCCAACGCTAAAGACCATACAGTACAAATCATAATGTTTGAGTGGAAGACTTAAGAGCTCATGGCTGAAAGTGGGCATCTTGCTTAAAGCTGTAATGTTTTTAAAGTTACTGCTGTTACCATGTGTACGCTGTTAAATGATCATGGGGCATCTGTTTTATAAAAATGGTTCTGCTCAACAGAGGACTATCTATATGATTGCAGAGACCTGGCTGCCACTTTAGTGCATCACATTACCAAGTGGTGGCTTCTTAGAAAACTATCAAAATATTCCTTACAAGGCCCTGTAACTAATGCTGCAGGGTTTCCTGAGCGTTGACGAGCCACTGCAACATATTCCTGTTTCTGGGAGTACAGCTGAGCCAGCACAGGATTTCCTCAGGGTAGTTTTTTAATTCCCCTCCCATGGCAGTGAGAGAAATTATACTGGGAGTAAGTTTTCTGTGGTGCAAGTAGAAGTGTCTTGGTTTCAAAATTATATTCTTCAAATTAGCCTCAATATAAGCATTTCACAGGTGATTATTAAAGAGGCAGAGTGAGAAAAAAATACAAGTGTAGAAGCTGGAAATACTCTCAAATGGTCAATAATTCTTTCACAGAGGCTTGTGTAGCAAGATGGTGCCTCTGGGAATTACTGCTGATTTGTTGTTACTCTTTATGGAACAGTGTTATGTAGATGAAACTGTTTGTGGCAATTACTGGACACTGTATCCCATTAGTTTGCATGGTTGCCTTCTGAACCTTCCTTTCAGCTCATTAAACTTAATGTATTCAAGCACTTGGGGTAGTTTTTTTGTTAAGTGCACTTTGTCCACTTGAGGACAACTGCTTGGGTCTGCCAAGAAGTGTGAGGTCATTTGGGTGTCAGTATCTGTCAAGTGTTTCATCCATTGTATTGGACACTTGAAGACACAGGGCACACAGATCAGGATCCAGCTCAACATGGCATGGCAGTTTAATGCACTTGTAATTTCTGAATTGTTCACAGCTCCTTCTTTAAGCCAACATCCTTCAGAAGGCTGGTGGAGCTCTTTTGAAAGTGGGGAAGAACAATTTTGAGAAACTTTTAGCATGCATAGCCAGCATCCTTAGGCTGTGTCTGAGCTCATTGTTTTTATTCGTGTGTGTCTTGCTGAACTGGCAGGTCAGATCGCCCAAAAGCCGGAGCTGCATGGACCAGCACAGCCAGAGTTTGGATGACATCCGTTTGTACAAGCGCCGGCACCCATCACTAAGTGCCACACTGTCTTCAGACACGTCCCACAGCTACACCTTCGGCTGCAGCCTTGAGGATACGCTGTCTCTCTATGGCTGTGTGTATTCCACAGCGGACTGCAAAACCAAGTCTGCCCTTTACGGGAAGCGATCTATGAACTGCCTCTCCTTGGATCTTCTGGGAGATGACCAGCTCCCAGAGGAGTTTGTGGTGTAATGAGATTGGAGCTCTTCCATACCAGGAAACAGCTCATCATGGCAATATATACCTCATTAACATCTCTCTTGCAGGAGATGGTGAGCGGCTTCGTTATTCAGTTCTGTATTAGTAAGTGGCATCGCTTCTGCAGACCTGGCTACAGGGCAAATCAGCTGGAGTGTAGCACTTAACACTGGCATTGGTAGTGTCTGTCTGAGCAGAAAGTGGAAGTAGCCTGCACCCTTGGCAGGGACACAACCAGCACAAAAACCAAAAAACAGTGGACCAAAACTAACACTGAGCTAGTAAAGCAAACTTTCTCTAAATGGATTAATCAGAAATCTAAAGTTTGTCATGTTCTTGCCTTTCTCTTGTGGTCCATGTTTCTTAATTTTAGTGTACAGATAGTTTGTCTTCAGTTTGTGCTGCTGCAACATTACTAACAGCTGTCAGGCCAGGATATACCCTTAGCACATTTGGAGGGCTGTGTATGGAAGTGTCTGTTTCAGTTGAATGAACACAAGTTGCTTATTCACTGTGCTGGGAGCAAGACCTGCTCTGCCAGGAGTTTCTTCTTCTTTTGTTGTTGCTATTTTGTTGTAAGCATCCAGCCAAATACAATATGTGGTCTCTTTTTTTTTTTTTTTTTTTCTTTATTGCAACAAATGGAACTGACTGTCAGCTGTCTACTACTGCTGTGATGCAGATTGGCATTATATCCTTGGAGATAGGAAGGAAGTAAAGCAAATTACTTGGCTGCTTCTGAGAGTACAAAGGGCAAGAGCATTAATTGACAGGCTTTTGAAGAGAGGAGTGTGACTGGAGAATTTGTCCAGGCATGATCACCCCTTACTTTGATTCATACTTTAATGTAGTTCTTTTATTTGTTTTTAATAAATCTGTTCCTTAGATTTTTTCCCTCTGCATAGAAGGCATGTAAGGACTGGAGAAAGTCACTTTGCAAGGACAGACAGAGTGACTGTGTCCTACTTAGTCATGGATAGGTCATGCAAATATGTGTGTGTGGTGCTGCAGGGCTGATGATGGTACAGGTGTAGGGTGTTTGTGTGCCAGACGGAGGGTACTTGTTTTGGTGATCTTGAGAGTGGTGGATCTGGCTGTGCTGGCTCTCACTAGGGAAATAATCATAATTATGCTGTTTGATTCAAGCATTTGGTGTTGAAAACATCCTGCTACCTTGTTACATGCAAATAAATGTGTTTGGTTTCCTCCCCTCATCAATTCCCAGCATTGGGAAGCTTGTACTTGAAGGCCCAGCTTTGTGCCCAGCTTTTGACAGCCATCTAGGTGTGTTCTGGCAAACTTTAGAAGGAAAGAAATACTGGCTGGGGAAGTGTGTGTTGTGCAGTGTTGATCATCAAAAGCTGAAGATAGCCTAATTCAGGAAAGGAAGGAAGCCAGACTATGACAAGGAAGGTTTGAGCTGCTGCTTTGATGGTGGGCACGCAAGCTCAGTAGTTGTCTGGTAAATTGCATTCCCATAAGTCATTAAAGTAGCAAATCCTTGAAGTCCATCGTCTTGCTACTTCTGTGTGAATGCCATGTAGAGACAGACCCAAGCTGCGTGCACTGTAGCCATGACTTAATGGACTGTTCCCTCTTTGATCACACTGTTCTTTCTTGTTGTAATGACCAAATAGGAGGTGTGTGTTCACTGTAGCCTCTTATCCTTTGTTCCAAACAAAGCCAAAATGCCTTTGCAAAGTATTCGAGGTATGTTTACTGCATCCAAAATAAATTCTTCTAAATGGAAATAAATGGGTAAAGGAAATCTGGTTGGCTGCTCTTAAACAGTCCAGTCAAGCCTCTCTCTGTCAGTCACTCACTGATACCTGGGTCCTGGTTGGCCATAAGCCACGGGAGATGGACATGGCCAGGATCCAGGAAAGCCAGTGGCTATACAAAAGGAAACAGCCTTGCAGCAATGCAGGAGCCTTGCTCTTGCAGGCACCACGGAGCTGGAGGGATGGCTCTTAATGCTACAGTGCCTGTCCATAAAACACATGAGGGGGAGGTCTGGAGTGAGGCTGCCACTAACCTGTTGCTCTCCTACCCATGCAGATGCACAGTTACTTGTGGTTCTGGGAATGGTTGTTAACAGGAAAAAAAGGTCAAAATTCAGTGGGTATAGTTGTTTGGAAAAGGGTCATAAAATGCATGTGCACCATGTGCACACTTCTCTCAAAGACAATCACATCCTTATCTGCTTCAGCCTAACCACATCACAGAAGTGTTTATTGCCACCAGGCAGCTCACAGTTCTGGTTTTGCAGTTAGCAGGCATCCAGAGGATTTGGCAGTGCTGTAATCCTGCTGCCGCTGGTTACAAAATGCACCAATGACTGAAAACAGCATAACTGACTCTTGCATTTAATCCACTGCCTTGTACATTCCTGAGGAGTTCTTGTATTTATTCATAGCTGGTAGGGAAGGCAAATTCTACAGGTCTTACCATCTTCTCTCTGTCATCTGTGCAGCTCCCTGTAAGTGACATATGCATATGAAGGGGAGACCAGACACTTTGTGTATAGACTGAGAATGAATCAATATCTTACAAGCACTGTGAATATCTATTATGCAACTTTTGTATTCGTATTAAAAAAAAAAACAACAAACACCTGTTTCTGCTAGTAATACATTTATTTTTTTGTTTGGATTTAGAAGATCTCTTATTTTTGAGTTTGATAGTTTGGTAAACATTAGCATGTAAGCATTTATCAGCTGATGTTAGAAACTAGCTGCCAATATTTGTACATATTTGTAAAATACTCGTGTTATAATCACTCTATTTTAATGGTAAAAGTTTCTCCTTTCCATGAAAGGATTTTCTTGTTTAAAATAAAACATAAATAATTATATATACACCTGCAATAAAGTATGGCTAGAAAAAAGGTAACTGTGTAGCTGTTTTTGTGTCCAAGGAGGACTGTATCTTCCATTTAAGATGGGTTGTAGAAATTAATTTGCTGCCAGACTAATCCATATGAGCTCAGCTTGTGATGACAAACCCAGAGGCACTGCAGTCACTGGAACAACTCCTGTTCCTCCTTACTATTCTCAGTAGCACAATGCCAAAGTGCCTTTGTCAGATATTAAGAACAGAGCTGAGCGGGCTGAAGTCAGCAGGACACTCAAGGGGTCTGAATCTGACTGAAGAGACAAGTTAAGCTGCTCCTAGTGGTTAGTCAAGAAAACCAAGCATGTGAACTCCCAAGGAGGTAGAGAGATTCTGTCAGCATCCTCCAGGGGCTGCATCCAAGGACTGCCAGCCCACAGGATGCAAAGTGCTGCTGAAGAGCACTCCACCAAAGTCACCTAACCTGCTGGCCTGGAGACTGGCATGGATAAAGGAAAGGTTTCTTTTCTTGGGTCATAAATCTATGAAGGAGTGCTGCAGTACTATCTGGATCTCTTCTTGAAGAAGCTGGCTCACTGGGAGCCTCTTAATTTTTTTTTCCTTTTCTCTATAAGAAATTTACTTTTTATGTACTTTGATATTGTACTGTTTCCCCTATTCTTAAGATTTCATTTCTTGTACTTTATATTTTGTTTCCAGTATACAAATTTTCAAGGACTTTAGAAACTCGTCCAACTTTGGCTTGGGGATGCTGGGAGTGGGTGATTTGATTACATGGAACTTTGTATGGAGATAAAACTAAGTAACAGATTGACATTAGGTCACCCAAATTTGAAGGACTTGGTCACTGCTCTTTGTTTCGTTGTTTGGCAAGTAATAGCACTTTCTTGCCCTCTAGGGTGGACAGCTGCTGACCAACACATATAGAATGTGTCTGTCTCAGAATATGGGGCTTCTCGTGGTACCAGCAAATCCTGTGTGGGTTCAGTAAAGTGCTGCAGTGTGGGATGGGGACAATGTGGTTAACTGCACTGGATCTGTTTTGAGGCATGCCAGCTGTGGGAGCTGCATGGAGGTAAGGCCTGAAGGTGTGTGCTAAAGCTGATGGGTAAAACAACCCAGGTGTTTTGGGTGAGGTGAGAGCAGTTCTTCAATGGATTTCTTGGCAGCAAATTCTGAGACACTGAAGGCTGACACTGTATTTTAGGAGTGAACATTTTTGAGCAGGAACTGGTCCTAAAGCCTCTCACTGGAAAGCTGTAGCTCCTTGACCTCTAGCAAGGTGGTTCTTTTGTCTGGGTCGGGTGGCTCCTAGTTACTTTGCCCAGGCTTCTCGTGGCAGCTCTATTCCCTCACCCCTACGCTCGTCTGCTCTGCCTCATGGAGCCCCTGCTCTGACGCCTCCCATTTCTTGGAGCGTATTCCCTAGCTCGTGGTGCCCAAGGCCTGGCTCCTGCCTTCATGTCTCTCCTGCCCACCAGCTGTGGCGTGGAGAGGAGGAAGGGACCCATCGTGTCTCCTGGCGATTCTGCCCAGCCCGTGACGACAGCGGCACGCCATGGGGCACCAAGGGCCAGCGCGGCTGCCGCCGGGTCCGGGTATGCGGCAGGGCCCCGCCGGGCCGCGCGGGGGCGCCCGAGGAGCGCGGCGGCCTCGCGGCCGGGCTGCGGGCCGGGGCCGGCGCCGGCGCCGGGGACGCCGGGCAGGCCGGGGCCAGCAGCTGGCCGGGCAAGTGTGCCGATTCACCTCGGGCGGCTTCTGTCAGCATTCTGCGGGGTCTAGGCTGACTGTCGCCCGTGGGACCGGGCAGCCCGGGGTGATCGGTACTTGAGTGAGCAGAGCCCAAAGCCATCGGTGGCTGTTGGGTCCTCCCTGAATGCCGCACAAAAGCCCTATGGAGCAGTTCCAGGTCTCGGGGGTCCAGCTCCTGTGGGGAGGGATGTGTACCCAAACTGCACTGGGGAGAAAGTTGATGCTCTTCAGCCTCTGGTCACCCTTGACCCGGGATAATTTAGCCGTGAATCGCTGATACAAGTTCAGAACCTTCCCTCCTTCTGACAAGTTGTATTAAGAAAGGCAGACGGGTTTAATGGGATGGGAAGTCCCAGGGGCCCGGGCAGCTGGACCCTGAGATGCTGTAGCTGGGACATCATGGAGGTGTGTGTGTGCTGAGCCAGTTCTGCGCCTTCTGTGTCACGCACAGGCCATGGCTGGAGACAGGATGGGTGTGAGGGAGCCCCAAACACCTCTCAGTGAAGTAGCTTTTCTCTCAGACTTGGAGCGAGCTTCCTTTCTGCAGAACCTCTGCAGTGTCAGAGCAGCACCACTGGGTATTTCCCTTAGGTGCACCCAGGAAATCAGATGTACTGAATTTTTAATTCAATACTGAATTTTTAATTCAATACTGAATTTTTAATGACATTTGAGTGCCATTGCACTTGCCCACCATCCAACTCCAGATCCATGGCCCCCCTGGGTAGCTGAATATCAGGGTTGGGCTGCTGTCTGTTCACAGCTGGGCCCTTCTGCCCTTGCCTTCAGGACATTTGGAGCAGGGGCAGCTGGCATGGTGGCTGAGCCCAGAGCTTGGCAAGACAGAGCACAGGTGCTGCTTGCACAACACCCTCCTGGCATGGCACACTCTGTGGTAGCCCTGACTGGTGCAGGGCTTCAGAAGGAGTGGAGCACAGGAGAGGGTGAGTATGGTGTTAGCAAGAATGCCTTTGAACAGCAGGGATGGGCTGGAGGGAGCAAGGAGATGATGGAGAAATGTACAGAAAGGGTCTTGTTTCACTTCTCTCATCCAAACAGCATTTTATAAAGTAAATCCAGCTCAAAGTAGGTCCTGTCCTTCCTTTGCTGGCACTGAAGCTCATTTTTTTGGAGGCACACCCCAGCCTATGGCCTTGCTGTATTTTCATGCTGCCAGTCAGCCAGGTACTGGCTGTATCTGACCTTCTGAACCCTGAGTTTGTCTCTGCAAGCAGGAGATTGTAGTTGTTAGACTAAGATCCAGGTAGCATGCCTTGCATGGGAAGTCTGTTGTTCTACTGCAGAGATGTAATGATGAAAAATCATATTTATCCTTTCTGGCAGACTGCAGGGGCAGCTGAGTATGAGTTATTGAAGAGCATAGCTGTGGTATTCTAAAATTCTGTTTTGTTTTTACTCCTGGAAATATAAACATCACATTTTTATTTTAAATCTCATAAATACATTTATACCAATCTTTGTTTTTCTTTCTCCAATCAATGCCGTTCTCATATGTAATGAGATAATTGGATATGGCATATGCTGCTTTCCAATCTGCAGCCTTAGGTCTCAAGCCACCAAGTGGAAAATACCACTTTAGTAACAGTACTGCATTCAGTGTAGGAAAAATCATTTTGTGTTACCACGGAAAGCATTCAGCCCCTTTGCTACAACCAGATGACAAACAGCCTGAGCTGTCTGACAATCGTCGCAATGGAGACAAATTCTCACATCCATGTTCTCCGCCCTTGTGAAAAAGGAAGCCTTGACTATGGGTCTCTGTCAAATCAAGGGCTTTCAGACTGGAAGAGTTGCATCAAAGCAGCCCCTCCCTGCTTTTCTACTCAGTGCAGGCTTTAGGGTTACCCTCCCCTCTACACCTTCTCAAACTCAAGTGCATTCAAAAGAGCTCTGGCTATTGGGATGAAGATTCCTGAGCAAAATCTTGCACTGCAGGAAGCCAGGTACTTTTCTCCCCTCCATATGTAACTTCTGGGGATAAGAGGGAGGAGGATTTTGCCCTGTTCTGAGATACGCACTGCTGGAAATAAGGACTGAGATGCAGTTTTTTGTTGTTCCTGACAGCGGTATTGAACTCTTCCCTCTCTGGCTTATGAGCTGCACTCCTTATCTCTAGGGTGAAATGGCCCTCTGGGTGTGTGGAAGAGGTACAGGAAGTCAGCCTGGATTTTACCTGTATTGTCTGCTGAAGTGGATCCTTAAACCCTCTGTGTTTGCAGGACCAGTGACACCAGCAGTGTCCCACTCCTCTCCTCTGGTGCACATAGTGCACCACTACTGCTGTCAGGGAGGGTGGTCTTTCTGTGGCTAATGCAAACTTTCTGCCTATGGTCTTTCTAGTCAGATGTGAAGAGAGGGCTCCCATAATTCCTATGTTAAAGTGCTATTGGATTATGTGAAGCATTTTTGGGAGCTCCTGTTTTTGGGATGGTCAGGAAGGATGTGCCAGTCACCAGAGTGGGTGCATTAAGGCCAGCAAGGCACCTGAGGGCAGGGATGGTGTTAGTATTGCCAACTTTGTCCCCACATGTGTGCAGGTGTTGCAGTGCTCTAGGTTTTCTTTGGAAACCCAGATCCCTGAATCATGCTTCTGCATAAGGCTTACAGCTTGTAAGAAGGAAAACAAGGAATGCTTCACAGCATACCTGGCTGAAGGGAACATTTGGCAATAGGAGTTCTTAAGAGACCCATGCCAGAAGGGCAATGGAGAGCCTTGAGTACAGGTATCTTTTGGAACATCTAGATCCAAGCCCACTCTTACACAATGCCTTGACACTGGGAGTATGGACAGCTCCTCTGGAGCAGTGGTGCCCCTGGCCTGAACCAGGCCAGCCTGGCTGGCAGCATTGGCATTCAGCTATAGCCACATCCTGTAATGGGATGAGCAGCAGGCTTTGCTGTGGGAGCAGCTGGGTATGACTTTGCTTAACATGTGCTCTGCAAATAATAGAGAGGGTACAAACCGTTGCTTTCTAATCTGCTTCAGCACAAAACCATTTGAGCTCCGAAATTTTCAGCATTACTACTGAAAAACATAGGGCAGCTTAGGCCAACTTAGGGAGAGCTCCACAGCCATAATGTCAACTTTAACCTGTTTTCAGGATAAACACAGGCAGATAGGAGCTCTTACAGACTTCTTTTTCCCAAGCACACAGCTGAGCTTTTGGATAACCCAGTATCTTTAAGATTAACAAACTTTAAAGAATCCTCAAAGCTGCTACCTCAGACTGCTACTGCCAC